GGTAGCAGGATGTCTTACTGATTCACTTGGTTTAAAATTCCACTGCACCTTTTCTACAAGGAAAGTCAGCAGGTGAAAGTTTATCTAGGGAAGGGTTTTTAGCTACTTGATCCCAGTAAGTAATCAAAGTCTTCCCTCTTAAGTGAGATATATGGCAATTCTATTTAAATTATACAATTTATTTCTAATTCTGCATCTGTAGGTATAAGCTAGAATATGTTATATGCAATTCAATGTCCTCTTCGGTCCCCCTTTTCGTTTTAAGTTGCCACCCTGCTATACTGTATCAGAATCAGTATACCAAGATTATTAAGCACATTATTTCTGCGATCAACAGAAATAACCTCTGGGACCAACAAAGCACAGAGGCTGCTCTGGGTACTGCCCAAGAACTGTTTTGTTTCCTTGTGTGTTTAGGAGACACTACAATCTTTCTAAGCTATAATGAGGCCAAAAATGCATTTGTCTTGTTGTTTTCAAAAGCTTAAATCTTCAGAAAGCTGAAATGCATGATCATCTCTGAGCAGCTTGCGCCGCTGGATAAATAAGGTTCTGTCTGGCTATTTGATTTACTAGAATACTTTTTCACATATCCTGAACAAGCATTTTACATATTCTGAATAACCATTAGGGATTCCTCGAAGTTTTTGTGAGCCCAGCGGTCAGAAGACACAAATGAACACCAGCAAACGACTCACCATGGTCAGACAACGCTGCTGGATTTTATTAGGAAACCCAGCTTAGGTGGAAAATGTAGTCAAAAGAAAACTTCCATACTTTATTTTAAGGAATAGAATAAAATAAGGTCTGTCCCTATTTACCAATTAGCATTTCTTAAAAAGCAATAATACTAGCATGCTTTTTTGGCAGGTCTGGGGCATGTATCTGAAAATGCTGGTGGTGTGGACACAGATGCCTGACCAGCTAGTGGAGATGTTAAGAATGTTGAACTCCCAAATAGGGAGATCCAGGCTCCGGACCCCCTTGAGCAATGGGAGGTAACTAGTGGGGTACCCCAATGCTCAGTCTTGGGCTCTGTGCTCTTCAATATTTTTATTAATGAGTCGGATGAGGAAGTGCACGAAATGATTGTCAAAGTTGCAGATGATACCAAATTGGGTGGAATAGCTAATACCCTAGAAGACAGAAACAAAATTCAAAATGACCTTGATAGGATGGAGCACTGGGCCGAAAGCAACAGAAAATTCAACAGGGATAAGTGCAAAGTACTGCATCTTGGAAAAAGAGACCAATTGCACAGTTACAAGATGGGGAATTGTCATAGATCACAAGCTAAATGTAAGCCAACAGTGTGATGTGGCTACAAAAAAGGATAATGATATTTTAGGCTGCATTAATAGAAGCATAGTTTCCAAATCCTGCGAGGTGCTAGTCCCCCTCTATTCAGCATTGGTTAGGCTTCACCTTGCATATTGTGACACCACACTTCAAGAAGGATGGTAACAAACTGAAACAGGTTCGGAGGAGGGTGACAAGGATGATCAGGGGGCTGGAAACCAAGCCTTATGAGGAAAGGCTGAAAGAATTGGGCATGTTTTGCCTTGAGAAAAGAAGACTGAGGGGTGATATGATAGTACTGTTTAAATATTTAAAAGGCTGTCATACAGAGGAGGTGCAGGATCTGTTCTTGATCATCCCAGAGTGCAGGACACGCAACAATGGGCTCAAGTTAAAGGAACTCAGATTTTGGTTGAATATCAGGAAAAACTTCCTAATTGTTAGAGCAGTACGACAGTGGAACCACTTACCTCGGGAGTTGGCGAGTGCTCCAACACTGGAGGCATTCAAGAAAAACTTAGATAAGCACCAGGCAGATATGCTTTGATTGCATTCCTGCACTGAGCAGGGGGTTGGATGTGATGGCCTTGTAGGCCCCTTCCAACTTCACTTTTCTATGATTCTATGATAACTGTGAAATTGATATGCTTAAGCTTTTAAACTGGGATTTACATTTTTGTGTGAGTGGAAGTAAGTGCAGGGGCTGAAGGAGTAAATGACCAAAGTGGGAAGAAAAAGAAACATTGGCAGCAAGGAAATGGGGGAAGGAGAGAGGGAGCACTGAGTTGTGGGGTGGTAGAATTAATCGGCTTTGAAGCTGGGCAGAGCCACTAGTAAACAACTAGTAAATTCCTTTCTCCCAAAGTTGCAGAGAGAGAGAGAGAGAGCGTAATTGCTGATAAATATATTTAAATCGCTGTTAAATCGCTAGCTAAACTCAAACTGAGATGCAAAAAATTATAAATTATTTTATTCCCCTACTTCAGAGGAAGGAAGACTCTTGCACAGTAAATGAAATCAGCACACTAACAATGTTTGTACGTATAGGATTTAAGCAGTAATCTTTGGCACCAGAGTGCAGAAGCAGAAAGCAATTGTCCCTTTTTCATCTGCAAATGACAGGGAGTCAGAGTATGTCACTCATATTTCAAGCACTAAAAGACCAGACCAAGGCTGTAGATGCCTAAACAAGCCAAGCAATGTTCTTAACTACAGTACTTCTTTTGGAAGGAGAAACTGAATCCTCTCAGTAACACAGAGACAGTCATGTTTATTTAACAAATCAACCCCATATTTATTAATTGTAAAAGAATAAATCAGAGCACAAATACTTTACTTTTTTCATATAGTTAGAAGATCAAGAGATATTTCACTTTACTCTAAGATGTAGGACAACTGGCTTAAATGTTATTTAAACAGAGAGAGAGAGAGAGAGAGAGAGCTACAAATTGTTCTGGTCTAGACAGTCCTTGAAGTTTCATTCCATTAGGCAGGCATGTTTATAATTGCAAAAGGCCACTTGCAAAACTAGCTTTCTAAACAAGCTAATTAATCAAGACCAGATGCTTTTGCTGGGCTTAAAGGGACATGCTGCCCATTTTATTTTCCTAATACACAACAACATGGAGCAACATTCAAGCATGCATGCACACAAACCTGCAGCAAAATAGACACACAGCATTCAGGCATGATGACACACACGGACAAGCAGGAAAGATACCATTCATGAAGCAACATTTTTTAAAATGGCACTTCCACAAGCGTATTTTTAGAGTTGTTTCTTCTTTTTAATCTAGACTAGCTTTAGAAACAGACAGACAGACAGACAGACAGATAACTCAAACACAATTTCTGTTGATCTAAATCCATTTGCTAATTTTAACTAGAGTAGATCCATTGAGTCAATGGCCACAATCCTGTTTGGGCAAGTGGGTCATAAAAGTATTCTCATATAAATTTGCCAGGTGTTACACCAAGGCAATAGAGAATCATGCAATTCAATTTTGCAACTGGTTGCATGATTCCCATCCCACCAGTGAAATACTTCATGAATAGCACTTCAGCCTTGGTGCTATTCTAGCTAACATGGCCGCAATGTCAAGTTAGCTAAGGCAGTGGGTCCCAACATTTTTAACACCAGGGACCGGTTTAGTTGAAGACCATTCTCCCAAGAACTGGGGTGTGTGTGTGTCCATGTATGCAGGGTGTGTGCATGTGCATCTGTGCGTGTGTGCAGGGTGTGGGTGGGGGCGTGCACTTGTGACCATGTGGGGGGTGCATGTCGGCGAGTGTGCATGCAGCTGTGGTGTACATGGGGGGTTTATGTGCATCTGGGCGTGCGTGCATGCTTGTGGGGCGGATGGGCATGTGAGTGTGTGTGTGTATGCAGGAGTACACATGCGTGCACATACACGTGCATTCCTTCGGTCCTCGAAGATCTGTCTTGGCAGCCCAGTATTTCCAAGCCCAGAGACCGATACTGGTCCGTGGCCCAGGAGTTGGGGGCCCTGAGCTAATGTACAAGATTTCAGCAAAAGGGTGGGTGACCTCTAAAAAAAAGAAAACTAAGAAAAGAAATTACATTTAACAGATCTCTCCCTTCCACAATTCTCCTGCTTTATTGTGAGCCCATTACAGGATTAATGGCCCACATGCCTATACATCACCTACTCTGCTACAAAGAGAGAAACTTTAATATCTTTCTCCTCCATCAACTTCTGAACACTTATAATAAAAAACAATACAACAGGAAACAAGGAGATGTTCTAAGCAAAAAATTAAGAAAGAAGGGGTGAGCAAGTAAACTTCAGGCCACTCAATTATTATATAAAACTTTATAGCCTAACTTTCTTTTTTGAGTTCATCAGTGAAAACAAGTTGTACATTATTCCGACAAATTGCTTTGGCAGAATAATTGCTGCCACGGTACTTAATTTATTCAAATATGAGATTGCTTCTCTCTTTCTTTTATCTTAATTTAATTAATGGAATGTACATATGTGAATGTATTTTAATAGGTTCTACAACTCCAGCAGGTACTCTTCTATTTTTTCTGAGTTTCTTCACTCCTTTTAATATTTTCTTTAGTTTTAATATTTATGATAACATGAATCATTTTAAAAATCATATCAAAATTGGCTTTAAAAGACAAATAAATAAATAAAAATAAAATGCAGCTTTTCTCTCCAGTAATACTCAAATGCAAAATCTTGAAAACATCTTTTCACTTTACTTTTTGTTAATCATAATAATAAACAATCAAGAAAATCATCATATTAACAGTCTGTGTCTAAATTAAAAGTACATTTTCTGTTACAAAGCTGCAAAAAAAATCTACTTTATAAGTAGACTTTCACCAGAATTAAATTTAGTTTCCCTAGAAGCCAGCTAAGATCAGTGAGCCTCTTTCTTAAGTACGGTATTGTAGCAAGCATTGCAACATTAAGAAGGAAGCTAATTAATGCACCCCAGAATCTTGTTCTATCTTGTATCTAATTTCTTACATCTTAGCATAAGGGCACCAATATCAATGCTTTTTTGTATTTTTATATGCACAAGCACAGAGCAAACTGTCTATTCAGCAGTGATCCGGTCTCCCAGCAGAAGCGGAAGTTACAATATTGGACACACTTGACTTGACATTTGGAAATGCTCTTTCAAGAGTAACAATGCATACTGAATAATTAAAGCATTGTGCTCACCTTGGCAGTCCACTCCAGGATCACCCCAGAAAAACTCCTGGCATTCATTACAGGTGCGTCCTCCAAACCCTGGCATGCATTGGCATTGCCCTGTAAACTGTCATTTAAAAAAAAAAACAAGGGGGGGAAGCAATAATTTTTTTTCTAGACAGGACGTTTTTACAGAACAAACCTATCACAAAACTTTTATCCAGTTATTCTGGTCTTCATCAACTGGCTGGCCAATACACTGAACTAAAGAAGAACTTTAAAAAGATCATCAGAGCACTATCCAACATTAAAGTCAAACTAAACATGACCTGCAATAGGACCTCACATAATATCTTAAGGGTAAGTAGAAGATACAGATTGAAACAGTGAGATTATATTCAGTTGAGGACAGCCTAATTCCTTTCTATTGGAACAGCCATGCTGACAGATTCTGGGAAATGTAATTGCTTCCAATTCTGGTTCTAACTCATGGGATGAGTAGCATCTCTCTGGTTTGTATGAAAGAGATCATGTAAACCCTGCAGGCTGTTTGGTTCAGCCCCAGGAGTATGGAAGCCCTTGGGAAGAGGATGTTCGTAGAGTTGTCATTTTAGAAAAAGAGAGAGATGGAAAGGAACCGCTATTCCTTTGAAGCAGGGAATAGGCTGTTATCACCTTGCATTTTATTTTAGGACCTTGAAAATCTGGCTTCACACACAGTTCCCAAGTTATGAGCTTTGAATCTTTGTACTAGTGAAACCTTTGAAAGATTTGCATAAATGGAGCTGTGGCACAATGGTTAACCTGCAGTACTGCAGTCAACCCTTTGCTCGAAATCTGAGTTCGATCCTGATCGGTTCAGGTAGCTGACTCAAGGTTGACTCAGCCTTCCTTCCTTCCAAGGTTGGTAAACTTGAGTACCCAGCTCTCGGGGGGGGGGGGGACAAACTGTTCCTTGGAGAATTATGTCGTAGACTGCCCAGGGAGTGCTTTAGCACAGTGGTTAAAACGCTGTACTGCAGCTAAAACTGTGCTCACGACCTGGGGTTCAAATCCCAGGTAGCCGGCTCAAGGTTGACTCAGCCTTCCATCCTTCCGAGGTCGGTAAAATGAGTACCCAGCTCGCTGGGGGGGGGGCAATGTGTAGCCTGTATAATTAAATTGTAAACCGCCCGGAGAGTGCTTGTAGCGCTATGGGGCGGTATATAAGTCAAATAAATAAATAAATAAATAAGAACAAGCAGGTACCGATTACTCATGTAAACAACTAAAGCACAAGCAAGCACCCCGAAGAATCATGGGCCAAGCGAATCTGTGAGAAATTCTTTCTGAATATTAATATCAATGTCTAACAATTCATTGAATTCTTTTTGCCACCCATTACCCAGCGGTCGCGAGACAGACGTCTTACCTCATTACAAGAGGAGCCGAAGGACCGTTCTACATCACAGCCACAGGGTTCACACCCGCTTCCGCTGGCCAACTTCCAGGTGTTTGGAGCACAGTGGTCACAGCTCTGACCAACCACATTAGGAAGGCACTGGCATTGCCCTGTTTCTTTCTCACACTCACAGTCTTCAGAGCCGTCGCAGCGCTCGCGCACGGTTCCCAAGTAATTGCAGACACACTCTGGAAGGAAAAAAAGCAGCCAAGGGCACGTGTGGAAGGAGGCTTGTGAAAGCCCAGAGCTAACAAGTCGAGAACCCGGCATGGGTTCTTTTTAAAGTGAAAGCCCAGAGCTAACAAGTCGAGAACACGCCATGGGTTCTTTTGAAAGATAAAAATATTTTAAATCAATCAATCAATAATCTTAAGGAGCTATTATATCATGCTTGATGGGACAATGCAACCACAGGCAGAACAGGGGAAATTTACATTCATCTCTCTACATTTACCTGCACATTTTCAACAGTTCTTGAACACATTGTCAAAATCAGTTTCTAGCAACCTGGACGCCATCAGGGGTTGTGGAAAGAGATGCCTACCAAGCATAACAGTCGCCAACAGAGAGCCAAAAACAGTGTATGTGGCTGCTGGACTGATACATGCCAGGACTGATACACGTACGCCTGCTGGATTGATACATAACCCATTCCAAAGACTTAAAATGGGTTACATTATCACAGCCTTGTTTAGGGGAAGAAACATAACTCCAAAGCTTACGCACTTCCTTCATTTGTGAGCCCTAGCTCATCTCATAAATTCACCCCCTTTGGGTCTTTTGTTTTCTGAACCTAAAGACACTTGTGGCTTTAATCTCTGAGCCAGGAGTGGAGAGAGGTCAGTCTTTAGACTTAGTCCTTAGAAGGAACAGGAAAAGCAACTATTTCCCATTCTTCATACTCAATAATTTAAAATGCTACGGATCTGTTCTAAAAGGAGTAAGAAAATAATGTCACACATCTTAAGTCTTGAGGATGTGGTAGACTCTACAAGGAACATTAATTTTTTTTTCTTTTTAAATTGCACCTCCAAATCATAAAATTGCAAACTAGCAGTTTTAAACTCATGCCTTCCAGCTGTGTTCTTCTATAATTCCCATTTATTATGGCCAGCTAACACATTTGAAGAGCAACAAATGTACTTTTCTGGAGAAAGCTATTCCTTAACATATACATTTTCTGATGATTTTTACTGTACATTTACTGACCATATATCACCGGAAATCACGAATGCAAGATGACGTCTGATGCATTGATATTTAAGATGCAAGGACCCTTTGTTGTTTTCCAATTGCCCTCTCCACCCCTCTCTCCATGCTTTGAATTTTCAGAAATCCTCTGCCACTACTCTTTACCATAGTAGGAATGTTTCTGTAAATAAAACAAAAGAGACCTCTTCCCTCCTGAGCCTAAGGGCAACAGGAAGCAGCCCCAGCTATTCTCTGGATAAGAAGGCAATGAATGCTAACAACAAGAGGAGCCTCCTCTTTCACAAGAGTTTCATCCTTTCAGGATATGCAAAAGGTACTGATTAGGCAGGAGGTCTTTCTTCATTTCAGCTTTTACACATCACCTTTGCCCACCCAAGATTAGCCTCAAGGTAATTAGGTTTCGGGTATTAGGGTTACATCCTGAAAAGCTAACAATTTACAAGACCCCATTCAAATCAAGTTTATTTGTTGACCTTTAAGGAAGCTGAATCCTTCCAGTGTGCAAATTCCTAGAATTCTCGGCAATAAAGTAACATTGCAGTGCAGGATAGCCAGCTTGGCCAGGTTATACTGACAAATCTCTGGATAATTTGCAATATGTACAGATTTCTGACTTCAAATGTGTTAGCAATGGAGGATTACTTCTCCCTACACTGATTATACTAATGAAACGAAAGTTTAACTAGGTACAAATTCAGAGTCCATGAATTTTACTCAGTATCTATGTCTGTCTGCACCAGCCTCCAGTTGTTGGGTGAAAAGCAAAGTAGATTCAGCAAGGCTGAAGTCTGACTAGTCCAGCACTCAGAAAGCAAATGAGATTGATACAGGTCAGAGGCAGAAACTCTCCTCCACTTACTTCGACAATCCTGCTGAAGAGCACGTCCGTAATAACCATGTTTACACAGCTGGCAGTGTTCACCCTCTGTGTGATACAAGCACTTCAGGCACAATCCTGTCTTCTTGTCACAAGCCTCTGGATCAGTTGAGTCAATGTTGTTGCTGCACTGGCAGGGCTGGCAAGTCCCACCAACCTCTTCAGGGTTTCCAAAGAAACTGGAAGCGCATTCATCACATCTGCTCCCTATTCAAGGCACCAATTGGAAAAAGAAGAAACGTCTTCAGCGGATACACCAGCCTGCAAATTATTAGCTGCAAAGGAAACTGTGGCAAAGGAGAGAAAGAGGCCACTTCATATGTCAAGAAGTGGAATGGAAGTTGTTCAGAGAAACTAAACACAGCGAACAGGAAAACTCATGGGGAAAAACAGAAGAAAATACAAGATCTTAGTGAGCATATACTGGTGTATAGCATTACTGACTTCAAAGGAGAGAAACTGCAGGTTGATAGAGGCCACTTCATATGTCAAGAAGTGGAAAGGAAGTTGTTCAGAGAAACTAAACACAGCAAACAGGAAAACTCAAGAAAAAAAAACAGAAGAAAATACAAGAGCTTAGTGTATAGCATTATTGACTTCAAAGGAGATAAACTGCAGGTTGACTGAGAATCTGAGCTTTTGTCAAAGATTTGTTGATTTGTTACTAACTCCCTGTTTTGTCCAAGTTTTTTTCTAAGTTTCTGTTTCGGTGCATAAAGCATAATGAATTTGTACTACTGTTCCTTATTTGTATCGATTGTCCCTGTATCAGCTCCCCATTTCATGATTCAGCCCCCTTAGGTCATGAAGCAGAGGACAGCATTGTTTGTAAGTTTAATTCATCCAATATATACATGACACTTAACAGGATATTTATGGATCAGTGATGTAAACGAAGTAGGAAGACAGGGGTTTGGGATAGGAATAGTGTTTTAAAATGCCATATGCACCTTCTGTTGTTTTTAATTGTGGTTTTTGTTGTTATTCATTAATATGAGAACTAATTCGAAGGTCAAGCAACACAATGAAGAATTTAAATGCTGTGAAGAATTGGCTCATGAGAGCCAATGTGTTGTTGTTGACCTAATGTCAGCCTGTGATTCAGGAGCCAGAGGTTCAAATCCCCATTTTGTCACTGAAACCCATGAGGTGGAGGTGGCCCCGGCAAGACCACTCCTTAACTATCTCACATTCCTTGAAAAGCCTAAGCGAGATGATGGCACAGAGCAGCTGCAGCAAGAACAGCACCATGTGACAACCCAAAGGTTTGTGATCACAGAAATGTGCACACAAAGGAACCACCTTAGTTGTACTTCACAAGGAATCTTACCTTTGTATCCACTTTCACAGACACACACCACCTGTAGTGTAGTACGGTCTTGATAACAGCCACTGGCAAACTGACGACCACTTTCCGGTCCATCTGGGCAAGGGCAAGGCCGGCAGTGATCCCCAGATCCCAGGACAGGATCTCCATAATAACCACCAAGGCATCTAGATTTTCAATGCACAAATATGGACTAAGTTTATCCCCCAAAATACGACACATTGATCGGCACAAGAAAGTGGGCAAGTAACAGCTGCTAGCACACAGAAGTGTAAGGTTTGCATTTTTTTCCCCATCAGCACAGGACGAGTAACACTATTTTACTGATATTTTCCTTGGCTCTTCCCTGATGTCAGTGGAAGGAGTTCCAAGTCAAGTCAATTTCTTTTCATGTGAAATATAAACACACTTTAATTCACAAACTAATGTGTATTCAGTTTTAAGGAGTTTCATTTCTATAAGGAAATCTAATCACAATACTACTTGACATAGAGCTAGGCTAGTTTCGTCAACTATGTCTGTAAACATCTGCACAAGTCTTCCGTCTATCTCCACACAGGTAGCCCCAAACCCTACCTTCCTGCATGTGACCCTCGGTCAAGATAGTGGAGTAATTTGTAATCCTAACATTGGCAGATAAAATGTATCCTTAGGACCTTGGTGCAAACTTGCTGTGCTCTTTTTCCCCCATCCCAAATCCCTGGTGCATCCAGAAATAACACATTAGTCCTTGAGCAGTCACTGTAACAAAACAAAAAAAATACTATCAAACTATGTATCCACAAAAGCTGCTCCGACTTCGTCATATTTATCTCTCCTCTTTTCCTCATTTAGCTCATTCCATCGCCCTGGAATAAAAGCCAACCTGTCCCTCCCCAGGGTTTACAATGGATACATTCGGTGTAGCACCAGTACAATGCCCTTCCAAAGAATCAAAGACTATCATCCAGCATCTTACGTCTTTACATGTACCGCAGTCTTCAAATGTCTATCACACCATTTTCAATTCTAAATATACCTATAACACTGCAGTCAAGTTATACAAATACATTAAATCAAAATTGCTTATACTGCACAATTGACAGCAAGTACAGACTCTGGAACCTAAAAAGGAAATGATGGCCAATGACTGCAGAAGGGTTTGACTTTTTCCCTTCTATGCCAAGTTTAGCTTCTCTTCTTTCTGCAGAGAGATATTCTCTGGCCGACAAGACTGGAGGTTAAACATTCTCCAGTGCTCTTTCATCTCTGTAAGCAGAAAAGGTTATGTGACAAAATAATAGGCAGAGGATGGGAAATGTGAGGTCCTCCAAATATTTTTGGACTGAAGCAACTATCATCTCTCACAACTAGGTAAACTAGTTGGAGCCAAAGGTAATGTAAATCCAAGAACATCCGGAGGGCTGCATGGTTTCCAGGCAGCCAAGATACTATATTCAAGTTGGAAAACCAGGCTAAAGGTCAAAATTAAAGTGTGTTCAAACACAAGATATTTTACCATGAAAGAGAAATCTGTGAAGACTAAGAAGTGGTGAAAGTAGCTTCTGGAGATCAATACGTGTCTCCTACAAAGTGTTCAGGGCAACTGCAACATGAGTTAGATCTAAGAATTGGAGAGCATAAGGACAGATCTTGCACCAGATATAATTTTTAAGCACTTATTCCTGCTATCCCCTCAAAAGAAACAGTACCTTTCACAGTTATGGCCAGAGGTATGATCACGACAATTCAAACACTGTCCACTGTAGGGGTCACATTCATCTGCATGCCCATTACACTGGCAGGGCTGGCAGTTTGGAAAACCCCAGTACCCAGGCAAGCATCTGTCACATTGGCGGCCGTATATTCCATGGAAACAATGGCACTGTCCAGTCTCCGGGTGGCAGAAAGCATTAACCGAAGCTTGCACATGACATTCACAAGCTAAATAAACGAAACAAAACAAAAAGCCAGATATGCATTTGGAATGAAATTAAAACGGCATCCATTGTTCACATTCATGCATTTATGACGCTGAGACTTGAAGTATCAACTCATTTAAAAATAAATACGGAGAGGGTGGGGATGTGTCATCGTATGGAGAAGAGGTTTCTTCTTCCTTTATTGAGCCACATGCGCCATTCTGGCTAGAATAAATCAACATACGTTTGCATCCACTGGGCCCAAATCCAAAAGTGCCAGGAGCACATTTGTCGCATCTTCTTCCAACAACATTTGGCCGACATTGGCAATGGCCTCCATGAGGATCGCACACCGAACTTAAGGAGCCTTGCGGGTCACACTCACAAGCTGGAAAGAGAGCAAAGGGGCAGGCATTGGAGGTATTGCAAATGTAGAAGCATTCTGACAGCAACAGCACCATGCAAGCTGCAACTATGGTAATAAAGCACAGATTTGTACAGACCTGCTTAGATTGACATGGGCAGGCAAACAGTGTGTTGCAGACCCAGAAGGTTTTTTTAAAAAAACAGAAGGTAGTGAGAATGGAATCTAGGCTTGATCTGACAAGTAGCTTCAAGAATTAAACAGAGATATCAGCAAAGTATATATCATAGGTTAAAAAAACCTAAAAATTCATTGATTTGAGATTTTACTCTTTTACTGCATTAGCCATCTCTCTATACAGCTTAGTACCTAAGATTTATTTATTCAGGTGCCCTATCTAGGGCTCCCTGAATTTTGCACCAAATCAAGGATCACTATAACTTCCCTATTTGCTCTGGGTCCCACTTTGGGAAATAGTGCTGTAAAATCAGTCACACACACTTACCTAATGCTGTCTCATGCATCAGAGCCGAGATGCTAAAAATTATATTCCTGCAAACATCTGTCATAGGTGTTTTAACAACACTCCTGCTGTTCTCCAAGCACCGATATCTTTGGAATGTTTCCCAGGCACTGTTTGTTGTCACATCATCACCTCTGCCTCCAACTGTGAATAAGTCCAGTGATTTGCAAAATGGCATGAGGACAAGCTGTAGAATGATTTTAGGAAGGCATTAGTTCTATCTATCTAGCCCAGTTTTATAAAAATGCTGTATTATTCAATGTTTCTCAGATCATCGTTCAAGACAGTTTATTTTTTTAAAAACGGATAATTATACACATTGATAGGGATAGTTTCTTCTAAATACAGTGGTGCCTCAATTTACAAACTTAATCCATTCCAGAAGATGGTCGTAACTTGAATTGGTCATAAATCGAAGCACCATTTCCCATAGGAATGAACTGAAACCCCATTAATCCTTTCTGGCTGGAAAAAAAATCACACACCCCCAAAATAAAAAACTCACTACAAGCTCCACTGGAATGCATTCGGGCCGGGGGGGAAGAAACACAACAAAAAACAAAACAACACTGCAAGCCTCATCGGAACACATTGGGGCCGGGAGGGGGGGGAATCACCAAAAAATAAAATAAAATCACAGCACAAAAACATAACCCCCCCCCCAGCCCAAATCCACACTGCAAAACCCTGTACTCACTCAGAAGCAGAAAACAGCACCAGGCAGTCCGAAGCCTCTCTGCAAACGCACACACTTTAACTGTTGGGGTGAAAGAGCTACAAAGAAGCAGCCTCTTCGCCAACCAATGGTTAGCAATTTAAATTCCCCACCTTTTCCCCGGCTTAAAGCAAAATTTTGCGGCCGGAGCTGGTCGTAACTCGAATTGGTTGGGACGGTCATAAGTCGAGGCACCACTGTAAAGAGGGTAGTGACGTACATGCGGTAGAGTGCTTTCCACCCTCAAACTCAGCTGAACACACTCTATTAGAGGCAGTTCTCCAAATTCCCAACTTTTACAGTCTTCTGCAGTTTTCAGCAACATTTACAAACATTTTAAAAGTGGAGATAAGCCATCTGTTACTTCCTCTCTGCACAGCTTTGTGAGCAGAGTGCTAGGGAAACCATTCATCTTTGCTCTGGGTGTATACATACTTGTACCAGGTACTTTGCAGGTACCAGATTGAGGCACTAATCTTCTTGATGGGGAGATATCCCTTCACTCTGCATATCTCATGTCAAATGTATTTATGCTATGAGGTATGGTCATCAAAGACAATGGATTACATCTTCCCTGGCTACCTCCCCAACGCATTTAAATAATTTTAACTAGCATCACCTGTACCTACCGAATCGATGAGCGTGTATGGATTTTCCACCTCTGCATTTGCAGAATACTCTGGCAGTTCCAAGCGAACAGTGTAATTGAGTCCCTTTTCGAAGCATATTGGCCGTGAAAGGACGACGTATCTAAAGCACATAAGAAATATTAAGAAATATCAGATGATTTACATCAGGGGTGTCCAACCTTTCACCTTCCCTGGGCCACATTAGAAGATGAAAATTTGGTTTGGGCCGCATGGGGGGGCAGCCCTAGCCGTCCTCCACAGCCCCCCTCCAAGCGCGCTTACCGGCAGCTGCGATCTCAGACAGCAGAGGCTGCCAGCTTCGACTCCGGCGGCTTTATGGGACCGGGAGGGGGTCCACCTATTGACGGGGATGGTGCAATGCAGTCACGCAGCCCCCCTGTCCCCTCCTACTCACTCCTTCCTTCCCTCTCTCCCCCTCTACTGTTGTGACATGCCCCAGCCACATTCCAGCCGCAAGTGCCGGCAGTGTAACTTGAAACTTTGGAATTTCTTTAAAAATAAAAAATTGCACTGGGCCGCATTACAAGCTGACCTGGGCCGCATGTGGCCCTCGGGCCGCGGGTTGGACAAGCCTGATTTACATGAAATCAACCCTTTCCCTTTTCCTCTCCCTTTTAACTCTGCATTGCTCCTTTATTTTTTCTTCTTCTCTTGTTATGCTCACCTTGAACCTGGAGATAAAGATACCTCTTGCTTATCATCATCGGGAATTGTATTGCCACATCGGCTACTAGTAGAAATCCTGCCTGGGCGATACACGGTGATAACCGCTCTGTCCCATTGTTCTGGTAACTGTTAAAAAAATTGAACTCTATTAACATATCCTCGTTATTCATAGTACTGTAAATGCACACAGACCAGTTTTGCTTGACGCAGGAATTAAGACCATGGTGGCTAAGATCTTATAAATATTCATGAATATGGTAGGATTTATTGCTGAATAAACACACATAGGATCACACTATCTATCACTTCTACCCATAGCAAACAGCTATCTGATTTCACCAATACTCTCATGTTTTCTTAGATCTAGAACTCTGGCATTCATATGATTGTTTTGAATTCTGTTTGGTTTCATGTATTCTTCTCATAACACCAAGCACTTTGTTGTAAGCAGTCACCTCAATCACCCACTATTTACCCCTTTCCCCCATCTTCTACTACACTAATACCTTTAAATAAATAAATAAATAAAAATAATTAAACCCTAAGAACAATATGCACATTTAAAATATTATATATTGCCTTGCTCTGATCTATGGCTACTTTCAGCAAATGTTCTTTGATGCCCATGTTTAATGGTAAATACTTTGGAGGTTATTATACAGGATATATATGATACACAACTACTAATGCTGGAAATAAAAATAGGTGATTTTATTCAGATTAGGATTTAATTATATCTATTCACTAGACTTTCTTTTCAATATTAGGAGACAGTAAATTAGCAAAGTCACTTTTCATAGGCAGATTTTTCAAAGCATCTTGAAAACATTTTTATCCCTTTCTCAAGAGCAAAACTATCAAATGCTATGGATCTACAAGGTAACTATTTACCTGTGGTTCATACCGAATCAGAACTTCATATTCCATAGAATATGGGATATTATCAATGTAGAATTCCAAGTATGCTCCTTCAGGAACTCTTACAAATCCTATTCCAGTCCAAGAAGGTATATGCTCCTCAGAGTACTGACGCTCAACTATACTCACTCCCTGGGAAAAAGAAATGTTTTATTTAATGATAAATCTTTGTTATGACAAGTCATCTTGTCCTGCACTTATATGGAGGTTAAAAATACAACTATATTCCACCAACTCGTTTTTATTTAGTATAATGAGACCTGAAGTGTGAAAACGACTTCAAATATTAGCTTACTTGTCAGGCAAAAAGTAAATTTAAAGAACTCTGTGCATTAGTGACCTTCAAAGTGTCCTGTTATTAACAGCTCTGCTAAAGCAAACTCAACGCCTTGGCTTTCTTTACTGAGCAGATCAACCAGGTGCCTTCACTAATAAGGCTTGGAACATGTTCTCAGAATGGTAGGAACAGCTGCAACAGGACTTCAGAGAAGGAGTTCAGGGGGAAGATCCAGTGGGAAAGGACATTTTTTCCAGATATACTAGTCCTAAGCCATTTGGGCTATAAAGAATCTTTCCTTGAAAATCTCCAAAGAAAAGTTAGACAGCAATCAACTGAAGAGATGTCAAGGCAGCTTTGCACATCCTAGTACTCTCTAGATGAATGTTGCTGGCTGTAGATCATGAAGCTGTTTCCCAAAACATTTGAAGAACATCAGGTTGGAGAAGTCTTTTTAATGCTTTGGTTCTCCTGCCTCAAGACAAGAATTTCGTATATTTAAGTGACTCGCAACTTTATGGAGCCACTGCTTAGTTTTAACCCCTGTCAATAGCACAGGACTCAATTAAACAGACCTCCTGCCTCAAGACAAGAATTTCGTATATCTTAAGTGCTTCGGGAACCGATTTTCGCAAAATGACGATTTTCGGCCAGCTGATCGGCGGTTTCAAAATGGCCGCCGGTTAAAAAAAATGGCTCCCCGCTCTTTTCTGGGTCGGATTTCACCCCATTTAACAACGAAATCGCATTACGACAAACTTTACGATGGTTTCAATGGGGGAATTTCGCTTTGCGATGATCGGTTCCCTGCTTCGGGAACTGATTCTCGCAAAACGACGATTTTCGGCCAGCTGATCGGCGGTTTCAAAACGGCTGCTGGGTAAGAAAAATGGCTCCCCACTCTTTTCTGGGACGGATTCCTCGCTGCACAGGCGGCGAAAATGGCCGCGCTATGGAGGATCTTCGCTGGACGGTGAGATTCAAGCCCATAGGAACGTATTAATCAGGTTTTAATGCATTTCTATGGGCTTTTTTATTTCGCATTACGACGTTTTCTTTCTACAGCGATTTCACTGGAATGAATTAACGGCGTAATGCGAGGCACCACTGTATACTGTTAAGATTAATTTTGGTCTGTTTAGATCCATTTCTTTGCCCTTTGCACTCTTTTGCTTTCTCCTTCTTTCCCACCTCCCAAAACAAGGTGTGATTTTCATTTGGGGTTAGAACCTACCAGATGATGGCTGGTGGATTGAAGGAACCATTATGTATCATTCCTAACTCGGATTCAATGAATTCACATACAGCCCACTCAGACTTGGAAACAATTACATATAAACTTAATACAAAACACACTAAAACAACCGGAAAAATCGGCAGTAGCTGAACATGCCCTAAAACAAGCTGGACATTAAATTCTATTTCAAAATACTGAAATACTGGACAACACCAGCAATCATTACGTTAGACTGCACAGGGAAGCCATTGAAATCCACAAACATAATCAGAGTTTCAACAAAAAAGAAGAAAGTTTTAAACTAAATAAAGCTTGGCTCCCAGCATTGAAAAATACAGCCTGCAAAAGGTCGCGAACTCTACCCAGCCACAAGGACTGGTGATAACTACACACAAAATGACACCCATCAATCACACTGACAGATAATATCTCCTCCTTATCACAACAACAGACCCACAACAAAACACACTGATCACCACTATCACCCATCTCCTGAATAGGACAAAAGCTGAACCCACAGCTATAAATACTCAACTCTCCAACTAACTGCACCAGAGCACAGCGCGCTACTTCTGTCCTCTGAAGATGTCGGCCACAGAGACTGGCGAAACATTAGGAAGAACATCCTTCAGAACATGGCCAAAGAACCCGAAAAACCCACAACAACCATTAGATCCTGGCCGTGAAAGCCTTCGCAAATACATTAAAACATTGTATTCTTTTTCAGTGATGGCCTCCACCACACCCATTTAGACCTATTGACCAACCCTCTCATTGACGGTTACTATCAAACCATTTAGACCTATTGACCAACCCTCTCATTGATGGTTACTATCAAACCATCCAGGTAGAAACAAAATGGGCTATACAGAAAAAAAAGGGATCATTGCAGTTCTCAGGTCGAAAAGTTCGTAAGTCGAATCTTCATTTCCCATAGGAATGCATTGAAAACCATTTAATCCGTATCTGCTCTTTTCGTCCATAGAAACTAATGGGAAGCTGCTATTCCGCCTTCTGCCACTAGAGGGGGGACATTTTTTCTTTTTTCCTTTTAACCTAAGATGACTTAGCTTTAAAAAAAAGGAAAAAAAGAGTTCGTAACTTGAATCTAAGTTCGTAAGTCGAGTCCATATGAGAGTCCACTATGAGAGTGGTTCGTAAGTTGAAACATTCGTATGTCGAGCCGTTCGTAAGTCGAGACCCCACTGTAGAAACAAAATGGGCTATACAGAAAAGAAAGAATCACATCTCTTGATTGCTACTGATAGAACTTGGTACTCACTGGGCCAAAGATAGCTTCCTCTGCCTCATAGACATAATGATCTAACGAAATGAAAAAAAACCCTGGTTCCACTTCATTGCACTGACGCCCAATCATATGGGGCCTGCACTGGCACTGACCAGATTCACTCGAGCAGCTGAAAAAGAAAATTAATTTATATCACACTTCTTCTGGGACAAAACTTTGCAAAAGAAAAAAAAGAAAGAAAAAAAGGAGATATAAATAAATAAGATGAGCCTACAACAATTTATGCCCAGGAGTGTCTCTGTGCGATTAATTGTTTTGTATAGGATCCATTTACTACTACAGTGCAAGCACCACTCAGTTTTCATTTTCCAAGCAACATAAGTGTTTCAGTTCAAATCAAATAGCTCTCCAGCACAGGATTAAGCTGAAAACTTCAGGAACAGATAAATTCACAAAAACCACCCACCCTTAACACATTCTCCTTTCCTGTGTAATTATTTATTTCAGATATTTTTTTACATTTATGAGCAGTTTCTTACATGTGGCACAATAATTTTTGTTACGCCACCCTGGTTGTTTTTCAGTATTCAAAATTATTCAACAAAGCAAGACAATTCAGGTGCTCTGTCAAGCCACCTTGCTATCTGCTAGGGGGAAATGCATTGAGGAGCTTGCATCCTTCCAAACAGGCTGTTTTATAATTAGAAAACAGGCTTGTAAAAATAGATGTCTCCATTGTCACTTTTTTAAAGCAGGATGAATAAACCGATTTTCTTAGGACAGCCAAAAAGGAAAAAAATCTGTTGGCTCTGTTCCTGCTAATGAGTGACACCCACTTTCATTTGGTTTTGCAATTACTGCTGTTAACACATTCAAGGGTTCAGCAACTTTATGGTTTTATCACACAGTTTTAATAAGGTTTTTGAGTGTATCAGTTGCCTGTATGGGACACAAAACAAGCAGTAGTAGATTATAAACATAACACAAATGTGCGCACAAGCGCACACACACACACACACACACACACACACACACACACACACACACACACACACACAACCCAGAGTTTTAAAACACCAAGCTCTGGGTTGGTTTTGGATTACAATTCCCAGAATCCCCTAGCAAATCTGTTCATTAGCTATGCTGGAATTTGGGAGCCTGTTGTCTAAAAAAACCTAGTTTTCAACACTTGAATTGAATGAGCACATCTATTCTCAGACAGATGGGACAGTAGGTTACAAGGCTCTCCGTGACACCAGAGTAGCTTGGGAGCTTGTGCAGTCTTCCTTCCTACACTTCACTTGCCATATATAGAAACTGGTATATCCATCAGGCCAGTTCAGATAGATACTGATATGGATAGCCGTGAGAAGTTATCTCCATAAACTATCGGGCTGCGGGCAAATGACTAAGAGTCTCTACAAGTGCCCCTTTATTATCCTCTGTGAGAACAATACCGATGTATCTTATCTACGTATTTCTAAGTGATAAGGATGAAGATTAAAATTCAGTATATAAACACTATGCAGTATTTTATTACAATAATTATTTTTTAGAATTATAGATACATTACAGGTAAAGCAGACCTTTCTGAAATGAAATATTTCATGCTAGTCCGTAACTTACTTATTGTTCAGTGCTCCTCCTTGATCACAATCACATGGTTGGCACCCTTCCATATTATTGCTCAGCCCCCAATGTTCAGGCTGCAAGGGAAGATTTAGGTCATTACTGTTGTGACAAGATGCTTTGATTTTCAAGAACAGGTTAAATTTGAGACAGTTTCAGCAGAAACCATCCGGCTTTGGTTTGTCCTTATGGACTCTTCTTTCACTCTGCTATCTAAGAGCCCATCCCTATGACAGGCTGAAGATAATAAAGGGGAACCATCTGAATCCCTAAGAGACCATGGGTGAAGGGAAAGAAGAAACAAGCTTTCTCTTGCAACACAGAGGTAGTGTGCAGTGGTTAGCCTGCCTTTGGAACAACACTGGCTTGATTATCTTGGATTAGTCACTCTTAGAGATGGGCATGAACCATGGTTTGGATTTCTATGGGTGCCCCCATTTCACAGCCTGCTTCCTCCAGTGGGTGCCCACTCAGAGACAGTGGTGTGGCTTCCCAGCCCTGCCTCCTCCAGGCATTGGGCAGGCACGTGCCAGAGAAGACAGGGCTGAGAAGCAGCCATGCTGCCTCTGAGTCGGTGCCTGCCAGAGGAGGCAGAGCAGGAAAGCTGGGGCATCCATGGAAAAGCTGTGTGGCCGAACCACTAAACTGCAGTTTGTGCCCTTCTCTAGTCCCAACACCCATGGTCCCTCACTCCCTAGTTTTTAGAAATCTTTTAAAAACATGTTAAGATGCTCCTCATACATTCATTTATTTATTTTAAACATTTATAACCTATCCTGTATTACAGAACCTCAGGGCCCGGAACAGAGACATAAAAAAAACCATTTAAAAATGTAAAATCTTTAAAACAATTTAAAATTTAAGAAGTTTAAAGCACACAACATCAGCACATTAAAACCACTGTGTTAAAACCTGTGCTGGCCAAGCTCTCAATCTCTGAAGGCTCAAATAAATAAATAAATAAATAAACAAACAAACAAACAAACAAACAAACAAACGAACGAACGAACGAACAAACGAACAAACAAACAAACAAACAAACAAACAAACAAACAAACAAACAAACAAACAAACACCTTTTAGCCTGGTAGTAAAATGATGCCAATGTTGGCACCAGGCAAGCGTCCAAGGGGGAGGGCATTCTACAATCAGGGCACTACAGCTGAGAAAGGCCTTCCTCATGTCTCCACAAAATGAACAGTTCTCCTTAGTGGGAAGTGAAGGAGGGCCTCCGCACTAGATCTTAGCGATCAGGCAGCTGTGTATAGGGAGAGGCACACCTTCAAATGCCCCAGGGTTCAAGCACTGACAGGTACAAGGGGACTTTTTCATTTGCAGTGATATGACTCAGAATCCAAGTTGAGGGTGGGCCCCCTTCATTAGCAGCTGCTGATCAGAATCTCCACTGTCACCTTTCTCAATGTGTGAGTTGTGTGAAATGAGGTGTCACAACAGCGAATCTAATTAGCAAACACTAATGAGAGGGTCCTCCATGTCAATTCTGGGTAGGCAATGTTATTTTCCTTACACTGCACAAGTTTATACCAATAGATTTTGGCCATAGATCTTAGAATAAATAAGTAATTTGGTGCTACAAATCAATATGATTATTTCTGCCTCCTCCCTAGTTTTTTTTTAAAAATTACACTTTCCACTTAATTTGGAAGTATGTTTTTTAAAAAAATGTTTATTATAAATAAATACATGAACCCGTAAATGCTTTCTTCTTTTAAGGAAGACAACTTACCAGACACTGGTCACAATGCCTTCCTGTAACAAGACGTTTACAGTAGCAGTTTCCTGTCTCTGAGTCACAAGGATTCCCTCCAGGGAGGGTACCCAAGGGATTGCATGCACAGGCTAGGTTAGGAAGCACAAACAAATAAATCAGGACCTGATGGTTTTCGTTATGCTTTGCACAGGAGTTGATATAAACATTTACTTCAACACTATCCCTCATTTTTCACTGCAGACTTGATGACAAATTACTGTCCCCGTCCCAGTTTCTTTCACCACCCAAACCTGTAGTTTTTTGCGGCTGAGAGACAGCGCACAATATGCAAGATTACAGCCAGAACTGACTGGCAGTCAGTGAGGGGAAAAAAACAACAGCATAAAGGCATAAAACACAGCCATCTATCAGAAACACTGAAGTCATACGATTTGAAATTCTCTATCAGTAGCACCTAATGATGCAATGGGAAGGGCAGTACAAGTTAATCAAACCAGCAAAGGCTTCAACATAAGTGGTTGAATATATTTTACAGCAGTGGTTCTTAACCTTGGGTTACTCAGGTGTTTTTGAAATGCAACTCCCAGAAACCCCAGCCAGCACAGTTGGTGGTGAAGGCTTCTGGGAGATGCAGTCCAAAAACACCTGAGTAACCCAAGGTTAAGAACCACTGTTTTACAGCACAGTTCTAACTAGCCAGATTTCTGAGGCTGTGGCTGAGATGGCACTAAACCAGGTGAAACTAGGAGGCTCTCAGATCCCCCGCCAACCTGCTGTAACTCAGCTCCTCTCTCACTCCTCCCCTTTGGGTTGTTTTCTGGCTACCTGCTGGCTAATCTCAGGCAGTATGGCCATTTTCTTGACCAATCCAGTTGTGCTAGCAGATCTGAGATCAGCCAACACAAGGATGGCTGTGTTGGCACAAAAGGCTTCCACACATTCCAGACCCACTACAACCAACATATCTTTGACTTTAGTTTGAGTTTGAGTTTGTCCAAGTGTTCAACTTAACCTTAATATAATGCTGTGAGATAAGCACCAGGCACTCAAGTACCTGGGAGTCGTCCTAGTGCCTTCATACACACTAGTCCAAATACTGAAAGGCAGGTGTCAGAACTCCCGACCCATCTCCAGGGTTCCTTGTTTCCAAAACAAAACAAAAGCACCCTCTCTCATTTGTGAATCACAGCTGAACTGCCCAAGATAATATGAATTTTTACCATCTAGATCCATTTATGTGCATAAAATTATAGAACAACACAGTAAAAATCGATGTTTCAAGGAAAACCAAGGATTCAACAAGTCTAAAAGCAAGTAAATTCAATTAACAAAATCTTTGAACCAGCAATTTGCCATTTGCTCAGATTTACAACATGGCTTTGTTAAGCTTTACTTACACTGACAACCAAAAGGATTATCTGCACTTATTCCATAGAAGCCTTCTTTGCAGAAATCACAGCGTTCTCCTTCTACAAATAATTTACAGCGGCACTGCCCAGCGATCAGGCCTGCTGAGAAGTCAGTGTAGCGATCACACACTCCACCATCCTGGGAGCCAGCCGGATCGCAGCTGCATGCTGAGCAAACCAAGAGAACCCTTTAACATGTAATATTTAGCTAGCTAGTGTACAAAATACACCCAACCCAATAAATCCCCATTTCCATGAAACCAAACAGCCACCCTCTGAATTTCATACAGTCTAAAGTCACTGTGACCCACCAAACGGAAACGTTCTAGTTCTCCAGAAAGCACAAATCATCGGGACAGTGCACTATCCTCAGTTCCCCTCCCACTGAATACCAGAGAATTCTAATTTTGTAAACAACCTGCTCTGTTTCTGGAATATGGAGTGACTCTTAAGAAAAACTTCCAATTTGTTAATTTTTAGGATGAAAACAAGAACAGCAACTCATTCTTTTGAAATTTCATTAATATACGAAATCCCTATGAGTTTAATTTTTTTAAAAAAAGCATAAGGAAAATGACCAATGGGTGAACTGTTAACCGTTTCTCATTGACTATGCCAGGCTTTCCGGTGCGGTTCTTCATAAAAGGACAGCATACTTACGCTCACAAATGTTGGGGTCCCGAATATCTCTTTCTGGATGCTGGAAGTAGAATGGTTTGCACTGTTCGCAGTTACGTCCCACTGTATTATGCTGACAGTCGTCACACACCCCACCACTGGTGTTCCCCGTTGCTATATAAACAGCCATATCAAAATGGCACTGTGCGGAATGTTCATTGCAATTACATTCTGAAATAAAGAGACAAATTCAAAGTGATTATCTGGTTTTGTTTCTACTAGACAAAAGGATTTCATTGGTAATGAACAACTGCCACAAAAAAACTTCCTTATAGTGCTCAAAGAAAGGAACTCCTATTCAGACTAGGAGTTAATAGCTAGTCTAGTCTGAAGAAACTATTATATACAAATCTTTGGCATAGATATAAATCAGGGTCCAACACTGAGCATCCAGTGTGACACAGGTGATACAGGATTTTCTCTTTCTATCCTCCTTTACAGCCCTCTGTGCCATCTGATAATCTGCTTCAGAAGGCTTCCCAGCCCTTCAGAGAAGATTCTGCATGTAGATTCTGGGAACTAAATTTCACCTTATGTTTCTTAAGGCAATACTGGCCTTCCAATGTCATTGTCGTTGTTAATAGTAATAGTAACAACAACAGACATAGTCAATCAAAATTATAAAAACATTGACTGGTATTATATATATAACAGATACAAGTTTTAACCAAAAATCTAAGTATCTGTTAAATATTGGTGCAGTATGAATGCTGTTCCTAAGATTGCCGGGGTTTTGTAGCTCTAATGGTGTTATTAGGGGGACGTGGTGGTGAGGGGGACGTGGTGGCGCTGCGGGCTAAACCGCAGAAGCCTGTGCTGCAGGGTCAGAAGACCAAGCAGTCGTAAGATCGAATCCATGCAACGGAGTGAGCGCCCGTCGCTTGTCCCAGCTCCCGCCAACCTAGCGGTTCGAAAGCATGCAAATGCAAGTAGATAAATAGGGACCACCTCGGTGGGAAGGCAACAGCGTTCTGTGTCTAAGTCGCACTGGCCATGTGACCACAGGAGATTGTCTTCGGACAAAACGCTGGCTCTATGGCTTGGAAACAGGGATGAGCACCGCCCCCTAGAGTCGAACATGACTGGACAAGAATTGTCAAGGGGAACCTTTACCTTAATGGTGTTATTTCTGATTTCTGCAGCTGCTTATAATACTGTGTTAAATTTCATGGTATAGTTCCCAAACCCTGATGACAATGGGGAATACTGAAGTGTGTTTCATCCACAAATGATATGTTTCAATTGCCAGACCTCTGTTTTTTGTTGATTTTTCCAGTTCTTCATATTGAATTCTGGCAGCCCCATGGAACTGCAATGTCAATTATTTCTTTACTCTATTAGTACTATGTTTGATGTGTTATGTTCAAGGTATCTATCAGTTTGGATCTGGCAATCCCACAAGATCTTGACTTTGTCATTTTCTGACACCTTTTCTATCTGATGTTCCCATGGGTTTCTGGAGGCTGGCAAGTTATATTTTTACATAATGATCAGGGCACAACTACTGCTACTGCTACTGCTGCTGCTGCTGCTGCTGCTGCTGCTACTACTACTACTACTACTACTACTACTACTACTACTACTTCTTCTTCTTCTTCTTCTTCTTCTTCTTCTTCTTCTTCTTCTTCTTCTTCGTCTTCTTCTATTTTACAATGTGATGTGATGCTTCCAAATATATACAGGTATTATTAGAATTATTTCCCTTTCATACTTTCTCACAACCAGCCAAGAGTGCTGGAATTTGCTAAGGCGGAAGTAAAGAATGGCTGAGCATAATAGCCCTGTCATGTTACGCATCTCAGTACCCTGTTTCCCCAAAAATAAGACCTAACCTGAAAATAAGCCCTACTATGATTTTCCAGGATGCTCATAATATAAGCCCCTATTATTAGAATTATTTCCCTTTCATACTTTCTCACAACCAGCCAAGAGTGCTGGAATTTGCTAAGGCGGAAGTAAAGAATGGCTGAGCATAATAGCCCTGTCATGTTACGCATCTCAGTACCCTGTTTCCCCAAAAATAAGACCTAACCTGAAAATAAGCCCTACTATGATTTTCCAGGATGCTCATAATATAAGCCCCACCCCAAAAATAAGCCCCAGTTAAGTGAAACCCCACCCTCCACCATTGTACAGCAACCAGAAAAAGATGACATGACTGCATTTGAATAAGATTGTTGTACATGAAAAAAAATAAAACATTTCCTGAAAATAAGCCCTAATGCATTTTTGGAGCAAAAAATAATATAAGACCCTGTCTTATTTTGGGGGAAACACAGTATATTCTACAAATAATACAAATGTATCCAGACTTTCAAATGCAGGTTACAACATAGTATATAACATGAGGGGACATGGGGTTGGATGGCCCTTTTCAAAGAAGTAGTAATAAGTTAAAAGTTCTATCTTGTTATGCAGCTAACACTTGCACAGACATTTTAACACAGGTGTTTATAGTTACAAGTCCTCCATACAAAGCATGTTACCATAGTCTTTCGAGACTGAAGGATGCCTAATCTTACAGTTCTCACCATTTCAAATTTTATATTTAATATTGTACTGAATTGTTTTTAAAATTGTCTTAGGTTTTGCTATTGAGCGTATCATTCCCTGGGATCTTCAGATATAAAATGGGATATATAAATATTCTAACTAAGAAATAAATGAGATTTTTTCCCCCTGTACTTCAGAAATACAGTGACCATCTTTAAATATCCACAGTAAAGCCAAAAATACAGCTTCTCGTGAAATGTTTGTTGGACTTGAATACTATATATATGCAAAGTATAATTTACATTTCTTACACCTACTTTTGCATGCATTACTATTACGGCCTTCTGCAGGTCTCCATGGAAAATCATGGTAGAAGTCCAAGCACTGTTCACAGTTTAGGCCCTTGGTGTTGTGCCTGCACATGCAGTGACCGTGAACCTTAAATTTACAAAGAGAGTTTGAATCAGAGTTATACAGAGATTAATAATGCAGTTCTTTCACTGATCACTAGTTCCTATATATTAACATTAATCTTTGACAGTTAAGAGAAAAGGTATTTCCATTTCTACAGGCTTTTTTTCTGTCCAGAGAATCATAAACAATGGGTTAGAAGGAAGTAAGAGTTTTGATTGCTTTGATTGGGAAGCTGATATATAGCCTGTTGAGGTGAACAGAAATTTCTATCTCACTTTTCCAATGTAGAAAATAATTATATGCTATATACAGTGGTGCCTCGCACAACGAGCGCCCCGTAGAGCGATGAATTCGCTCTACGGGGACATTTTTTCGATTGCTAATGCGATCGCAGAGCGACGGCCCCAATGGGCAAAAATCGCAGAGCGAAGGTCGGTAAGCGGTTCGCTTACCGACCTTCGCTTTGCGACCCGCGCGATCAGCTGTTCTGCGGCTACAAAATGGCCGCCGGAAGCCCCAAAATGGCCGCGCGCAGCGTTTTCGCGCCCTCGTTAAGCGAGGGGAGGGCGCGAAAATGGCTGTCGGCCATAGGGAAGCATCGCTGAACAGTGAGTATTCGGCCCAATTGGAACGCATTAAACCATGTTTAATGTGTTCCAGTGGCTTTTCCTGCCCCGTTCAACGATGCTTTCGCACAGCGAGGGTTAATCCGGAACGGATTAACCTCGCTGTGCGAGGCACCACTGTATTAAGAAAAAACTAAAGATGAGGCACAAAAAGTTGGGCCCTTAGGACCAAATTAGTGGTAATGGCAATGCTCCCATTTGTTTCATGCTGTTTCTACCTGCATTATGTAAAAAGCAAAGATGGGAGAGGCCCATTTCAAAGACTAGAAAGGGCACACATGTGGACAGTGTTAAATGTTAATTCCAATTCAGGTAGACCCACTCAATTAAATGTAATTTGCTATTATGTAAATCCCATTGATCCTTAAAATTCAAGTGACAGAACTATAATCAAAATGACCTCCATGTTAGTGTCAGGAAAGCAGAGTGAGTGTTTACCTTGCCTTCCACCTCTTCATGATATCCATGCACTGGTGCACACTCACTAGCGTGCCCATAACAGAAGCAGTTCCCACGGACCACCATATCATAGATGGCATAATAATATTTTTCTCTGATTTCCATTCTGGAATCAAGAAGGTTGTCTCCCAATGTATGAAGCTTAGTAAATCTGACTCTTAAATTTGTGATCTTCAACATATCTGAAAAATTGAAGAAAAAGAAAAGGAAATTGTTATTTTAAATTTCAATAAAGGAATACAACTTGTAAATATCTATGAACTATGCCTTGGAAATGATGATGATGACTAGTTACCAGCCTGAGATATTTAATTTATACAAAATGGAGTCTATAGTTCTGGAGCCTGCCTCGCTGAAATAAATAAAACCAAAATGCCTACATATATATGTGGCTTTAGCACACTCATGGGGAGTGCAAGTGATAGAACAGGAATCTTATGTTCCTAACCATTCTTACCCCCTTTTAATTTTTAAAACCTTTATGGACAATTATCAGTTTTAGCACAACCATATTATTTTATGTATTTTTTCCCATTCTGATATACTTATTGGTCCTTAAAAGTTATTAAACTAATCCTCTAAAATTGTTTTTTATAACTTTGTGCCCTCAAGTCAATTCTGACTTACGACAACCCTCTTCACAGTTGTCTAGGCAGAGAGTGCTCGGAAATGGTTTACCATTCCCTTTTTCTGGGGGTGCCTGGGGACTGTGCAGATTGTTTAGCAAATGTTAAATTCAGATGAACATGTTTAGTTATATAGTAGTAGAACAATTTATGCACTACGTTCAAATGTCTAGCGCTCACAAACAGACAAGTACTCCACTTTCTCTTGAATATTAGCAAAAGATTGGCTGAAGCTAAGTATTACAGATTCAATTTTTAATATTAAATATCCTATTTCTTTTTTACGTCCTGCCTTTCTTCCACCATGAATTTCAAACACTGATGCATCGTGTGCATTCAAAACAGATTCATGAATTTTATGTCACCACTGTGGGGTCTGGGACAGGGAGCGATAGAAATCAATCGAAAGGAACTAGCGTGACCCACGCAGTAGCAAATGTCTTGTCCATGTTACTCATTAATACTATGTGCTGGAAGGAAATAAGCAGATATAGGTGAAATATTAGGATTTAGACACAGTTCAACTCTATCAGTTCAAATGTGAATGGTTGCTGACACGAACCATTGTTTAGCATGGACACCTGAAGGCATTTCAGCACTCTTTAATCAGATTACAAGCATGCATGTTCAACAGCTTCTTTGATCCCAGTGGGGAACACAAGTTGATGTTAATGAAAATTCTTCAACTCTCAGCCCTGCAACCAGATACACTTTAGAGCTCCTATGAAGTCCACCTGAAGGTACCTGAGCTCTAAAGGATTGAAATCTGTCCGCTCCCAAAAGGCAGTGGTTGCTCACCACAGGGATGCCCATTTTTAAATATTTTGGTTTGGATTTTTTGTAAGAGAATGAAAGAGGTTGTGTAATCTAGCAAAGAGTGTACAAACCTGAACCAAGGGCTAATAGTTAAACATGAGCACGGTCATTTGATTATTGAATAACCTTGAACAAGTCACTGCTTCTCAACCTATTCTCTCCAAATTAATGTAGAAGAGTGTTCCACTGATATACGGTTCAGTGGCTGTAAAGGTGGACTATGCAGTCTGTGTACAATAAAAATGTATAGGGAGATAAAGGACTGTATACATACTTTGAATCCTCGGACTATATGGGTCCTCTATTCTAAAAGCAGGATCCAGAACACGAAAAATCACCTGAAGGAAACAGGGTTGAATTAGTATTGAAAAGTTGATAACCTGACAAATAAGGCAATTCAATGAAAGCACTGACCTCTCCTTCACTTGAAGGTTCAATATCGGAATATCGTGAATCACAAATGATGTCATCTACTTTCTTCATTGGTCCAATGGAAACACCTGGGAATGAATTCTCACAGTCATAGGCAAAGTACCTGTATACTTGCCAAGTTTTCCCAAAATCTGAAGATCTTTCTATCAACATAGCAGCAGGACGAAATGTCTAAGAATAAAATGTAGCAGTATAAGTTTACAGATGTTAAACTACAAATTATTAGAACCTATGTTGCAATAATCAATTTCCATTTTCTGACGTTTATTTTTCCCTCACCTTCTCCAGTTTCTTCACTGCTACTTTTACAAAGTACCAACCTACCGAATGTATTTGAGGCAACAATACACCTATTGCATTTGCTAGTAGTCTATTAAGAGAGTGTGACCGCAGACAACAGCATATGGTCATAATAAAATTTACTCAGTCATCAAAGATATATCAACACAAGGTGTAACTCCACACCAGTGAAATCCCAGATCATCTAAACATGATGCTAGTTGACGTATCCATGAAGTCAACAGGAAGGTAAACATGTCAGTAAAAAATAAGCTTGCATTTGCCTGAGCTTGCGTCTGAATCCAAGTTTATTTTGCCACATGTAAATCATCCTTATCTCCCTTAACAAAGAATACACACCATCAGTATAACATTCTCTAAGGAAAACAGAACATCAATATGATGCCAGTCTAGTATAATAAGGCTAATAGAAAAGTAATAATTTGCACACACAGTTCAATCTGTGGCATTTCCAAATCTCAGGCAGTAAAAAGCTGAGAAAATCATCTGCCCAATACATTAGAGCCCCTCGGTTAAATGCATCAGTGGTCTGACCCAGCATGTCTATTTTTTTTTCTGGATTGCATTCTGCCATTACAGAGATCAGCAGGTGTGGGACAGTACTTCTGTGGCTTAGATCACCATTCAATGGATTGATCTGAAATTTAAAGAGCTGTTTTGAGAGTGGTCTTTGCTGACTTTAAGGCAAAACAATACATTTTGGTAGGTCTAGTATGTGCTGTATATTAGAAGTAGTAAAAGGTGCTTGTAGAGTTTGAGTGTCTATTTTATCCTATGGCCTTCATAAATTCTATCATATGCACAGTTTGAGTTATTCATCCAATGACTGTTATGGGGGAGAGGCTTGGAAGATAGGGGCCGGAATGGCCAGAAGGGTGGTATTTAGAGCTGGCCAGTCACCAACCAGGATGATGGGCGAGCATGTACAGGAGGGAGAAATATATCAACGAGGGAGAAATATATGAACAATGAAGGATAAATGTAATACATGAGTGGTCTAATTCATTTGTACTGCTATTGTGTTTCTATTGTGTCTTTAAAAAGCACTTACATTTAAATTTCTCTATTAGGCATGTATAGTTATTTGTATGTTGCATATTTATGTTGTCTTTCTCCTGCTTAAATTAAGTGGATAAAAACTAGATAATCAATTCTTTGGAAATGTTTTATTCTATAGACAGCCATAGAACTATTTAACTGTGGGTAAGGTAATCTAGCCAGTTGTAATATTAGTCTGTTGTAGCCCAAGACAAACAGAAGACTGGTTTCAGAAGTAGTGTGTCTGGACACACAAAAATATTATTTAAAAAATATATGAAAAACAATTATAGATATAAGTAAGTAAGTAAGTAAGTAAGTAAGTAAGTAAGTAAGTAAGTAAGTAAGTAAGTAAGTAAGTAAGTACGTAAATATTTATTAAGATGCTACAAGACTTCTGATTTCTCTTTAACTGGGTGTACTATGATCTCTTTCTACAACAACAACAACAGCACCTGCTCTCTGAGAACAAAAATTGCGTGTCCAAATGGTTCTCACATAAAACCATGTGTTATTTTTCAAAAACAATATTCACAGAATTTTTCTGAATGCAAGTCTCCAGAGAGTCGAACCAATGATCAACTCCCAACTAAAATGTATTTTAAACCATATGGTACATTTGTCCTGCCAGCACATCTGTTGAAACAAAAGCACTCTGTAGACTGATGTTCTCTCCCCCACCCCATATTTCAGCTGCCGAGTTCCAAAGATTCTAAAGCTAACATGACTGCTGTCCTAAGGAATATAGTTTCTGGGATCTCGGTTTCACTATAGATACAAGGTGTTCTACAACGGAAAATCAGAATAAATTGTAAGACCCTATATAACTCTCAAATCTCCATCAGGAGAAACTCAATAATCAGTACCTTCCAAAACAGGGCTTATGTCTGCAGATGTGATACACCAGTTACAGTACAATCCTATACACGACTACTCAATAATTCAATACACTAAGTTTAACAAGACTTACTCTTAGTGTACCGAAATGCAGCCTTAATTTTTTAAAATGTGGTTTATGAATGTTTGGGATTTATCTAAGCATACAGAAAAAGGCAATTAGCCTGCATCGTAAAACTAACGGATCTTCTGCATTCCAATTTTAATGGCTGTTTAAATCCTTTAAAGGAGATTTCCACAAAACCAGGGATTTTGTTTGTCTTACTCTTAAATAGCCTGTCAAACCCCTAAGTGCCATCAATGAGCAGTCCCAGGTTACACAGTGCTCATCTGCTATTTGAGAGAATGTTATGGATTCTTTACCTTGAAGGTCATTATGAGATGAGTGAAATGGAATTCAGCTTCCAGATCCAACTGGATAGTTACATTTTCTACTCCTACAGGAATAAGGAAAAGAGAGGAAGTTGAACTGTAAACAAGAACATTTGCTAGGAGTTGAATTTCTTTTTCCCCACCTCCCCTCTCTCTTTTTCTTGAGGGAATCAGTCCAGTCAAACCCCTCAAAGCCTATTGTTGTTCTTTGAGGGTTTTGAAACAGAATCTTATAGATTGACTGTACTGTGAAATAAATAACCAGTTGCTGTAGAAACAGAAATGCACAGCATTTACTATATCCCTAGAGTATGAGTGTGAAACAAAGGGTCCTCCAGATGTTGTATTACCACAGCTTCCATTAGTCCTAGCCAATACAACCAAAGGTGAAAGATGATGGGAGTAGCACTCTGACAACATCTGGAGAGCTACACATCACCCAACACTGCACTAGAGGTTATCTTGTAAAACAGCTTATATTATGAACATATATTGAGTTGAAATGACATGAGGTATATAAATTATCCCAATTACATTTATCTGAGCATATTTACTGTATTTAGAAAAACAGGTCTATAAAAATCAGTGGGACCACTGGATAAAAGTGTTTAAGAGACCAATCAATGAATGTTGGGTTTTTTAAAAAAATGCAAACAATATTATCAGAACAGAATAGAACAAAACAAAAAGCATCAATAAAAATGCAATGTTTCTTATTGTACTTATTTTCCAGATAACAGCAGCTACACTACTGGCCAAACAAAAAGCATCAATAAAAATGCAATGTTCCTTATTCCACTTATTTTCCAGATAACAGCAGCTATGCTACTGGCCATATACCAGGGGTGGGTAATTAATTTCGATAGGGGGCCAGATGAAAAATCTGAACTGTGTTCGGGGGCCGAACCAACTTTACTTAAAAATAAAATGAAACAGTGATGTTATGAGTGTTTTATTTTAAACTTGTTAATCTTCACAAATACTAAAGAGTTTCTTTTTTGCGGTATGTTAAAGATAAGCAACTGATCAGCTTTAGACAAAAAGCTATGAATGGTTTTGATGTTCAAAACTGTCCCTGGGCCGGCCAGGAGTGGCTTCTGAGCCATATGTGGCCCTCGTGCTGCACTTTGGCCCTGGTCTGCCATACACCATTTATATTCCCAACTTTTATAGAAACTTTTATATGACTAAACATAAACAATACTCATTATGGTATCAAAATAAACTGCTGTGAGAAAGTGGCCTCTTAACACTAACAGTAACAGCAGGACAGGAAGGCTGAATCTTAACACAAATAACGCTTACATAACTTGAAAAACAATCCCTTTGATTATTCAGGGGGAGGGGGGTATCCCTCTTCTTTAATCCTTCTTCCTGTGTGACTTTGTAAGGGTTCATTTCCAGATTCTCTTAGTCCTAGCTTATTGTTACTTGTGAATCATGGCTTGTGTCTTATCAGAGCACTTATGCAGACAAAACTTTAAATGACTTTCGGCATTGTTAATAATATTGTCATATTTATGGCACAGTTCTTATATAGATCAAAGAGATATATTAACTGGTCTTCTTTCTACTTCATCACCTTTCACTGAATTAATCACTTTCTTGAATAGATGTCCCTAAGATAAGAATCGCCTTGCTGAATCTGACTAAAATCCACAAAGCTGAGCCTTCCCTTTTCTATGCCAATAATGACTGCATTGGACATTCACATACAAGAATGGATAAACTGGTTGATTCTCTGTTTTAAGCATGTACCTCTTAGTGAACATGAAGGTTCCATGTGCCTACTACAATCTTCTGTGTTATGTACAGAAACAACATACATCTGAGGTGCTTCTAAATGGAGGATCCTAAGTGAAGTTACTCAAAATATGTTGTGCAGCTATTCTTCCTTTTCCACCTTAACTGATTGAGCTTTTGTTACTAAGGTGTTTTTTAAAAATGTTTTCTAACTTAATAATGTTCATATTGTAACTGATTTACTTTTAATATTTTAGTTTTCAGTGGTACTTGTTTTCAATTTTATCATCCAGGAAGAAAGGTGGCAAATTTTTAGTAGCTACATAAAATGCTCTTATACTGTAACACCTCTTTACTTTACAGGATTACTGTCATCCTATGCATAGTTACCTGAAGGAAAAAAGATCAACTGATCTCAGGGGTGTTTGGTAACTTATGACTGCATTCATTCCACTTGTGAGAGGCTCTGACAATTAGCAAAAGGTCATTAGCCTGTTGGAATTCAATATGCAGTTTTCAATTAGAAATGCCAATAAGCTTCCAAAGATGTTTTATCATTTAAACTCCCAGTGTGAAGTAAGAACTCCATCAAAGAAAACGAAAAAATATCCAGACTCTGCTTCATTATTTTCCTCACATCCTGTCTTCCTTTATGCTAATCTATCATAAAGGACCTATTATCTTGATAGAGGAAGGAGAGCCTACTGTGGTGTATCTTTTATTCCCCCCAAAATCCCAGAACTGGACTCCCCCATCACCACCCTTCCTGTACTGCCAACATCCTACCATTGCCTGAGAATCATTAAAGCTAGGCAGCGAGGTTAGCTTCGCCAAGCCTAAAAGTGCTTTTGAATAGGAACATTTAGAACTTTGCTGAGTTGGAATCCTTCAGTTTTTCCCAACCAGTGATATCCCCTCACCCTGAAGAGCAACTCATTAAATCCTTTAAATGACTGATCCAATGAAGAAAGTATGAAATAGACACAAAGAACATGCGTTGTTTATTTCTGAGGAATACTTGTGAGAACATTATGTTGAAGCTCTTCTGATGCCAAGTTTAAGTGCAATAAACTCCCATGTTGAATATGTAGAATGCTGAATAGGAAACCCTGGGGGTAGAGAGCTCAGCTTAGTTTGATAATTTTATTATCCCCCACCCCGCTTGCAAACTAGGGCTGTAGTCTGAAGAACACTTCCTCAGAAGTGAATTTCACTGAAAGCAGTAAGACATTTTCAAGTCATTTTGCAATGGACTATAGTTGAAGGGTTTCACACAGGACTGCAGCATTGCTTGTAAATTACAAGATAAAGCAATTTCCCCATGCAATTATCAGTAGAGATATGCACTTCATATTTGTATCTCAGGGATACGAATATGACCTAGGGGCCTAACTCTCTCCCCTAGAACTGGTCAGGTGACTCACTGGGCTCTGCATGGCACTGAGCTTCTTTAGCTGCAGAGGTGTACAAATCCTGCCAGGAGCCTGACCACCCCTTCCTTGCCTCCCCACACAGTTGACTGGTGCAAGAAAGGGAGTCTCCCTGCTCAGCTGATGAGTGGTCAGCTGCGTGGGGAGGGAGAGAAGAGTGGTCGGGCTCCTGCCAGGATTCATGCACCAATGATGATGAAGGACCCTGCACCACACAGTAATGCAGCCCCCTTTTTTAAATTAATACCACTAGTTGTAAGAGCAGTACTGTACAAATATTGTGAGTGCAGGGACACAAGGGCCTTGTCAAGAGTCACCTGTCCTGCCTTCCCATGAAAACCTTGGATCTGAAGACTTCACTAGGACTGTCAAAGCTTCTGTTTATCCAGTCACCCCAGTTCTCTGGAGATGCAAAGAAGCTCATAGGAGCTTAACTCCTTTCTCTCCTTTCTCTCCGAAAAGGTGAACCTTTCTTCTGCTCCATTCATCTCTATATGTGAAAGTTCTCTATTAGGGTGTCCAACCTCAGCACTCTGCTCCATACATGGACATGTATGTCCTTGTATATGTGTGTGTATGTATATATATATATGCACACAAATAAAAAAATGCTACTTTTCCCAGCCCTCAAAATAGCTCACAAACATAATCAAAACAACTAAAAATCAAATCAAAAGAAACAATTAACTTAAAAGACATAATCAGGTAACAAATTTGCCAACCCTTCTAAAAACTGGTAGGGAAAGAGCTAAATCAGCATCCTGAAGTTCCAACCTTCAGTACCGCCACCAAGAAGGCCTTACCCTGGAGCAACTCCATGCAATTTAGGATTTGAATTAAGTTTAAATATTTTTGTGTATACACCATTTTGAAATGTGAGAAGAGTGTGCCATCTGTGTGGAATATATCTTTCTTTACACTACTCTTATAACAACATATTGAGGCTTTGAAAAACTTTGGTCTGAAAAGAATGTATCTAAACTTAAATTGATGGCTCTACTTTGACAAAGAAGAGCAACCTTTGTTCAATGTTTTAAAACACTATGTGGCAGAAGCAGTAATTACAAGGCAGAAAGCTGCACAGCCAATTATAAGCATACAAAAACATGTCAGGTCAGGTAAGGTCAATGAGTTGTGTTCTGGAACAATTCTGTCCCCCATGTATAGCCTACCCGTTTCTGATTGCCACCACAGCTTGAGCCGGTTTGGAGCAAAGGTAGTGACCACATTTTCAATGCGATGGCTATCAGGGTTCAGAGTTTCATGGAATGGGTCCAGTGAATCGCACATGAAACATTTCTTGTCTTCCTGAAATTAAAAATGCAAATCAGTATTTCACAATCCAGTACACCACAACTCCATTAGGTACCCTCACAGCCTTGACCAACACCAGGCATACTGGGGACCAAAGGGGGAAAAAAGCCTAAACACAGTGCATTTAATGTATATCTACACCCCAGGAAACAGTCTCGGGATACTATGATTGGCAAATTAGGGTGTTATAGGAAGATTCCAAATACTAGCAAATCTTCCTCAAAATTTCAGGTGAGATAAATGATTATATTAATTGTCCCAGGTTTCAAATTAACACATTTTGCTTAGTTATATAAACCAATGCCATAAAGAAAAAGTGCCATCCAAAATTAGATCATGTAACAATATAAAAGTGTTGGAAAAGTATAAGTGCTCATTTACAACTAGATTAAGCATAATTTCAGTTGTTCCTTAAAATCACTGCAATCATTCCATGTTTCACCTTAGCTGTGCCTCTGGGAGAAATGGAGTTGAAGTGACATAACTCTGGCAGCTTATGTTCTGGTGTGTGTCACACTATCTGATGCAACAAAGTTTAAATTACAAAAGCAGAAATTTGGCAGACAAGATGCCTTCCTGCTTACCCTCCCAGGGCAATAGCCATGATGGAATGGGCCTCAAACTGGGTGGTGGTGGTGGTGGTATCAAGATGCCTATCTTGGGTCTATATTATCACCAGTGCCACTAGTCGTTGTTCATCAGAACCTTATAATAATAATTTTAGAACTGCAGAGCTGGAAAGAACCCTATGGATCATTGAGTCCAGACCCCGTCAAGGAGCACAATGAGGAATCGATCTCCCAGCCAGAGACGCAAATCTCTGAGCTATCCAGCTATAAATACTAGGAGTGCCATAGATTAGGTTGCCAAATCACTGGATTTCCAATCCCTGCAACTGGGGGTGGGGAGGGGCAATACCAAGATAGCAGGGAGGGTTGCCATGTTGCAGAGAGTGGGAAAGAAATGCAAACTGTTTTGTGTGTACATTTTAAAAAGTGAGGTTATAAATGTAGATTTTCTGCACTACCTTTTAAAAAATAGTGGCTGAAATCCTGTTGCTTAGCATAGTAAGTTGCATTTAGAGTAGGCACATTTGAATAAATGAGACTGAAGGAGAAGCTGACATCAGTGGCCCTACTCTAGTGCAATTCACTACACTTAGGAATGAGATTGCAGCCATTAGATGCACACACATAGAAGCAATTTTGCATGGAGCCAGTGAGCCTGGCATCAGCTGATGGAGGGCTCAACAATCACCCAGGTATTAAGCCCTCCAGAAACAATAAAACCAGCCTTTTTCATCCTCCAGCAATTCCCCGAGGCATCAATCAGCACCCTGAGACCTGACAAACCTGGTCACAGTGTATACAAAGACACTGTCATATTTCTAACTTACAAAGCTATAGACCTTGCAGTCTGCCTGGAGTGTCTCTTTCTCGGTCTCCAGGAATTAACTGGGAGATTCTGTTATAGGAGATTCTGAGAAGGCATCTTAATGAGACTAGAAGATGAAAAAGACAAAAGAAGCTTGGAAGACCACGAGGAAAGGAGTGAATAAGAGGCACTAGCTAGAGAAGATAGGAGAGAAGAGAATTATAGCCCTTTTATTCTACGCTCCAGGAATAATAGAATCATAAAAAAGTTAAGTTGGAAGGGGCCTTATGAGGCCATCAAGTCCAAGGCAGTTCTCATAAACTAGGGATGGGAAATCTCTAGCCCTCCAGATATTTTAGATTGCAACTTGTTTGCAGTTCAGTAACGCATGCAGGGTCAGATTTTCCCCAACCACATAATAGACCACAAATTCTTATCGTTCAGCAGAAAGAAGCTTTTCGCACAACTCAAAAGCTGGCAACCCTCTTTATTCCTCTCTTTGATTTGTTCTAACTCGCAAATGTGGCTATTTATCTTATTTGCTTGCTTAAAATGTACACTTAAAAATAGATAGGTATACACTTTGAAATGAAATCATGGTTGCCTTTTGTTAATTGCATATATTATACACTGGAAATGAAGCAAGTGAATGTATCAAGTAACTTCCACCTGGGGAAGGAGAGGAATAGAGAGATAGACAGGTTTCCTCTCCTCATCTTTTCTAAATCTGTGTTTGGACTGCTATTCTTAGACTGACTTCCTTCCTCTTTTTTTTAGGTCACTTTTCTAGCTAGACAAACCACATCATCCTTTCATAGCAGCTATCAGATTTGTGTACATGGATAAACTTAGGAACCATTTCTTCCTGTGCAAGTGATGAATGGGCTTAGACGATTTAGGAGCAGGGGTGGTGGAAAATGGAAAGGGGCACCTCTGACTCTCTGCAGTTCCCAACCTCATCCCATTTTCGAACACTCACGCTCCTCTGTAGGCTGCAGTCACCGCTTTTTTTCCCCCTAAAATAGGAAGGTGCCAAATTGTCACTTTCAGTTTTGGGTAGTGGAAAAAGTCTATTTCTATTTTTTTTAAAAAGAGTTATGGGGTGACAAATAGAGTTTAAATGGATGATCATGTTTAAGGCTTCCAAGTGTATGGCTGTTCATTTTTAGGCCAGTTTTTCTCTTCCTGCAATGCGAGTCTTCACGGGACACACCGGGATGTTGAAGGTTGCATGCAGCCCACAGGCCAGACCGCTTCCATTCATCCTTTACAATAACAAGTTTTTCCCCCTTCCTCTTCCCTTAATACTGATTTCCAGAACAGTTATTTCTCTTCATTTGTCACGAGCTAAGTTACTAAGCCTCTACACTCCAGCAAGGTAAATACCATATAATCCTAGTATTATGTAGATCAACTGGTAAGACAGCAAATTTATCATCAAACGCTTCTTATAGGATTGCCAGCACTATAATGTTATGCCTCCTTTTTTAAAAAAACAAGGAGATTCAACAGCCAAAAACCAGTGGGTTCAAAAACAGGGTTAGGGCTATTTTGTGTTAGCTGCGCAAAGGCAGAAAATTGGAAACAACAGCAGGTGCTTTGATGGAAATGCCCTGGGATAATGATGATATGCTACGTCATAAAATGTGTTTGCTTTCCACATGTGCCCAGCATAAGACAACGCTAACTCTGGTCCAAAACCTGCAAGAAGTTGTTGTTGTCAAATCTCAGAATCTATTCATAAAATTCTATCTTGGCTCCTCTTATTATGGTTTTACAATAATAATGTTGTGAAGTTATATGGTTTCTGACCAGGTTTACTCCCTGACTTCCTCTTACCACTTCTTTTCAATTCTTCTCCTCATGTTTGAAATAGTTCTGCTTTTCAACTTATAGGAGACCACCCTGGACTTTTGCAAAAACTTTTCACTTATGTATATGGATAAGCACTGCAGATGTCTGATAACACTTGTGTCGTAAACTAGATCCTCAACACTACTCAAGATTCAATCTAGAGTCATCTTGACAAGATGCTTAGTTTGCTTTGAGCACTATCCTTTAGTAGGCCCAACTTGAGTGGACATACTGATTTCAAGGAGATTTACGTAAGCGTTGCTGTACCATTCAGCAATTGCTTCAATGGGTTTAATTAGAGTTGGAACTAGAAATAGGATACTGGTCACTATGTTCAACTTTCTTACGTATAACTCTAATGGGCTTGAAATTGTTTTCAAAATATTTAAAGTATCTTTATGAGCCAGCTGTCTATTTGCATATAATTGTTTGCAATACAGTGGACTCTCTACTTAAGGAATTAATCCGTATTGGAATTGTGGCTGCAAGTCGAAAAGTCTGTAGGTCAAGTTTCCATTGATCTACAATGCATTGAAAACAGATTAATCCGTAACCGTCCGTTTTGGTTCCATTTTGGTTTTTTTTCCGGTCTGTAGGTCGATTCTCCAGCTGCAAGTCGAACCTACATTTTGTTCAGCTCTGCTCTCACCTGTCCGTCACAGCTGGGCAGGGGAACCTCAGCCAATGAGAGGACGGAGGGTGGTGCAGAAGTGGGAGGAGCTGGGCTATATAAGGTGTGTGTGATGTGTGAGAGAGATCAGATCAGATTGGAAGATGAGTGATTAGAGAGATTGATAGGGAGTGAGAAAGAGCCTGTCAGTGAGGGGAAAGTCTGTGTGAGCTAGTGTCTGAGAAACAGTGATTGACTAATTGATTTATACATGTGATTTACTCCTTTTTATTTTGTGAAATCAATAAACACTTTATTTGTTTTGAAAGAAACACTTGTCCTTTTGATTTTAAGGATAGGTTGGTGGCAGCAGTTTTGGTGAAAGGTAGTGAGCACTCTTAGAGGCCTGGATGGGTAAAGGCTTGTGAGTAGCCCGCTACACTGCCATATGCATTCAACTGACCTCGTATGGTTGTCTTCTGCATAAATGCCATCATTGTCAGACAACTTTCATATTTATCTTGCCCTGGCCACTACCTGGCCAACGCAGATGTCAAAAGACTGCTTGGCATACTTTTTTAAAGAGCAGAACTGGCAAAATGGGTATCTCCAAGGCAGAACCAGTCTGTTAGTACATGTAATGCCTTTATGCCGTTAGTTTTGGAGCATATTATGAGCATCTGATTTGCCCTCTATGGTAGTTTGACAAATGATTTGTGAGCCTCTGCTTTGATATGGTGATTAAATGTTGTGGAGGGAGATAAGTCACAGCTCACTAATGCTCCTGTTGAACGCTTGGGTTCTCTAGAACTTTGAATCAAAGCCAAGTGTTAAGACAAATTTGGGTGGGGGAGACCACATACCATATTGTTATCCGGTGATAAAATGTACAGTAGGAGCTGTGCAGACATGTGGATTTAGCCTTACTAGGTGCAGGACAGAGTGCAGGGTGAACAGATGACAAAAGCTTATGCCATAATAAATTTGATAGTCTTTTTTTTAAAAAAAGGTCTACAGAATTAAGTCTGTCAACACTTGTGTATTATGCATTGACTGATTTGTTTTCTTCTGATATCTCTTCTGCAGATAGATTCATTTCAATTTTCTGCTAGTGATACAAGTGTAGTCTATGCTGTGTTGTTTTGTGATGAAGTTGATGCACATGCAGTATAAACCCGTGCAATAGCCTTCTTGTTATTGTTATATGCTGTTCAGTTGCACCCAACTTGTAGCAACCGTAGTAGGGTTTTCTAGGTATGAGAGACACTTAAGTCAGTTTCCAGTGAGTTTCCTCCAGTGAGTTTCCATTAGGGCTTGGGCGGATATGAACCTAGGTCTCCTGAAACTTAGTCTGACACCACACTGGCTGTCATGCAAAAGCGTTATATTGCAGATGCTGTATACAATTTTTTTCCTGTGTGCTCCTCTCTCTTGACTAGCCAGGTTCTGATCCTGGGAGTGACTTGATAGACAAGTGACTACCTGTGCAGCACTCTGCTTTTTTTGGGAAATAATCTAGCATGTTCCAACGCACAGTCGTTTCTAGTATTTAGAAATGCTGCTTGTTTGTGTAGCAAGCAATATGCATACCTAGTCATGACAGCTCTTGGAGATTCTCATTGTTGCAACCTTTTCCCCCTGGGCTGCAACTACTTGCTCATTTCTTTCTCTAATTCAAATCACATACTGTATTCTTCCATTTATAAGATGCCTCCCATTTATAACATGTCCCCCTACTTTTCTAACCCCAAAATTAAGAAAACTTGTCCTTGAGTATTTAGCCTTTGGGCTCAGACATTAGGAGTTCCTGTTGAATCTGAGCCTACAGGCTCCACCTCCAACGAGGTGTGTTCCAATTGGTTTGTTCAGCATCGGCTGATGTCAGTTACTTAAGGCTCATGATTGGAGGCGCAACGTACAGGCCATTTTGTTCTCTCCATGTTCTCAGCATAGTTCTGTGTAAAACATGCCCCTCAATTTCTAGTGTAATGATTTTAGGAAAAAGTAGTGTCTTATACATGGAAAAATATGGTATTTTCAAGGAGTCATTATATCTATGCCAGTACTTCAAAGTAACAACGTTGAAGTAACTTAGTGGGAACTAAGTTGCCCTACTGATAAAATTAATGAAGTTATCTAGTTACTTTTCAGAGCAACTTTATGGGAACTTTTTAAAGCACTCTGATATAAGGAATAAAAGCATTCCTTATCAATTTTAAATGTGTTCTTTAATGGAACAAAAAGCAGCAATGAACAACCTTTGAGTTTTCCCCCTTTAAATACTATAATGGGGATCAACATTGGGTTACTCGTTGAACACTGTAATAAGAGAAGTGTTTTTCTTCTGATATTTTTTCTCCTTTTTTAAAATTTTCAGCATATACGCTTCTCCCCATCTGTTTTTTGGATCCCAGCATTAGCACATAAACATAAATATATGGAGTCTGCTTCGAAACAGATTTCTTCACCACAATTTCCTTCTCCAACTCTGGTCTTTTTAGACAATTTTGATTTACTTCTATTTCTCTGTCTCATTTGGGTGGTTACACCAAAGTTCACGGGATGAATGTTCCCAGTCTCCTGTCAGCTTTCCCTTAAAAACCAGTTTCAAAACTGAGCAGCAACTTTTGCTGATTTTTAAAGAAAAAAATCCATATTTAGGCATTTGTGTACTCTTGAAAATGATTGTTTCTTGGCCACTGTCACGTTGATCTTCACAAAATTGCTAGTATTTTGTGAAGATCAATGTGACAGTGGCCAAGATTGCTAGTATTTTGTGAAAGCATTTTGCTAGAGATGATGCTATAGAGTTGGAGATCTCTCATGTGTCATGATTCAGAGGAAAAGAAATCTACTAATGCTTCTTATTTGTCTAACTAGCTACTTTGCATTGTAAATGCTTTAACGGTAACACTCCTGGAGTACAATCAACTCCAGTTTTAAATAACTTCACCTACAGTTGTGTACATATTTACAATTCAGCAGAAATTAGGAATCTATACATGCTTAACTGTGAACAGAACAGATTTCCTGATGCAGAATTTTTTCTCTCTGTTTCTGCAGTTTCCCATGCATACACATGAACACATGATTGTTAAGGTACAAGAACTAGATATCAGTGGCTTATTCCTATACATATTTCTGTGCAAAAAACAAAACAAAAACAAACTATGTGATTCACAATGGCAAAATTCTAGCATGGATTAAACAAACCTTGTGTTCCAATAAAGATTACCCCCAAGCCAAAACTTAATTATTATACCAAGCTAATTGAACTATATTCTATGGGATTTAGTGCCTTGTATATATCATTATCCTGGAGCTGATGATATATATGTAGCCCAAGTTTACACCTACGGCATTGATCATCATAAACATGATGGATCTAGCCATTTGAGAAGGATTTTTATTAACCTATTGGAAAGTCCGGCTGCTTTGCTTGGGGTGCACACATGGCTTTTCTTAATAATTGGGTCATCTGTTTTTCGTCAGACATGCCTGTTAGATTGTTTCTACATTTGGAAAGCTATGCCCCACTTTCAAACTGTTATTACATGAAAACAGAACATTTGTCTATTAGGATTCCTTACAATTAGTACAAAACCCATGTAGAATGTTGCAGCATGCTATATCAAAGTTCAAAGTAAAGCCCTTTAAAGACATTAATGCACAGAGTATGTAGAGCATATAGAATTATTTAGCTGCGATAAGAGCCAGACAATGTTCCAGCTTATTGATATTAATGTAATTAGACTGCAACTTTCGTATTTTTGCTGTAGTCTATAGATGTGCATAGATCAGAGAAACTTTAGTGTGTGTGTTATGTACCATCAAGTCAGAACCAAATTATAGAGACCCAGGTAGGACTTTCAAAGTAAGTGTGATATTTAAAGAGTGCTTTTTCCAGTCCTCCTCCTAATCCTCTCCTATGAGTCTCCATTGCCATGTGGAATTCAGGTCTCCTGAGTCCTAGTTCATCCATTATAAGATGATGTTGGGCACCACAGTGTGTAAGCTTTACGGTATACCACAAATCTTGATTAGTTTGGAATAAATAATTTGTAGATGGAAGGTTCTAACTAGTACAAAAAATAATGCTTTAAAAAAAAACAGATTTTGGTTCCCAGCTAGGAACACTTTTTCCTGCTTCTCTGATGCTTCTCCCATGATCCACTGCACACACAGACATTTCCAGGCCTGTTTACTAAACTAAAGGAATGGCAGCCATTTTAGAGGCTCCAGTGAAGTCAAGTACAACTTGTACACATCTCCATGCCCTCTAACCTGTAACCTCTTGAGGGAGTCTGGGCTGACTGTTCTGGGCCAGCATTTCCAAATTTCTTGAAACACAACTACTGCAAAGGACACCCCCTCCCCAATACATCTAATATACCTTTATTTTGCGACACTTCATTTTACCACTAACAAATGTCATAAAAGAAAGGAATACAAGAAGTGCAGAACACACCCAAGTCATTTTCATTCATTCATTCTATTATACGGAAAAATTCATAAGAAATGGCATCTTCTGTGACAGTGCCTAAATTTTTGGACAGAATGCCCAGGAGCTAAAGATTAAGAGTTCTAGTTGGGATCACAACCAGGATTGTCCAGAAAAAGAGGACTCACGCTTCTAATAATCCTGGGAGAAGGTTGTTCATTCAAGGAGCAGAAGCAAACAAAGGCAGGAAACAGCAGGACACAAGCAACTGTACAAACAGAATCTGAGCCCGAGGGATTGAGTCTGCTTCCTCTCAAACCCCAGACATAACCAGATGTTTCTACTTATCAAGAGAGGATGTGAGGATTGTTTGGTCAGCTGAGGGAGAGAAAAGAGGAAGGGGGAGGCAGAATGACTAGAAACCATTGTTCTCCAGCTGTAATCAACAGAATGGATGCTCCCTCTCTACTAGGGCTTACCTGGAGGTGGCTCACAATGCAGTAGGGTTCAGGCTTTTGGAGCCCACAGGTGGAACTGGCTGATAATCTGTCATGCCGGCCAATCAGCAAGTCTCCTGTGGCTGGATAGCAGCTCCCCTCCGCACATCCATAGCTGTATTCTGGTTCCTGGGCTAGCACGATTGCCCAGAGGCCTAAAAGGGGAGAGGGAAGGAAATCCCCAAAAGAAGATTCACATGAGAAACTTTTTCAGTACTCCAGTATTTTTGGTTCAAAAAAAAATACAGGAAAATGGCAGCTTTGCTTTTTCTGGTTTCAAGGGGCACAAATTGTGAGCTATGCAAGAAAAATATTTTGCAATAGGTAACCATTTTCTTTATTTAAAAAAAAAAAGATAAATAGGGGATAGCCATCATGACCTTGCATGTACCCTGACCCCCAAATAGGGACATGCCAGTGATTCTTGTCCAAGGGTGAAGTCAAAGCAACCTAGGTACAAGATACATAAATCACCCTTATAGAAAATGCAGCAGTAAAAGCATTTCCCCTCATCCTAGAACAGTTCACCAAACTTTGATTCATTCCCATCTTCGGTTCAGTTTGTTTTTCATTATAGTACCCACTCGTTGAACATCACAGTGGCAACAGAGTAATCAGAACATTTCCCCTCACAACTAGACTTCAACTGAACACACTGCTGTGGTTTGTTCACAAAGTTGTGGGGGGGGTTGCATTAATTGAGAAATAGATCAATACTGGATACCAAGCGTGCATTTGTGACAACTTCAATGAGTCATTAGTAGCAGAAAAGGAACCCAAACACAGATGCAGTAAAAAGTACAGGAACCATCTGACTTACTTATTGAACTTAGGCCCTACACTGAAGTTATAGAACAAACAAAGGTGACAGGTATTAATTGTCATCGCCATCGTTCCCATCAACTTAAATATATTTGAAGATACTGAAGAAAAGAGCAAATACATTCCCTTCCCCTCCACACATTATCTTCCCTCTTGCTCGCTTTATCTGCAAAACACACGTTATAATCTGATCACTGGGTCACATTTCTAAGGGTAGGAATGAGAGAATCAAGAAGACTTGGGTTGCCATCTTTCCTTCTTAAATATTTTTAACATTTGTAGGACAAACCAGAATCCAACAGGCCTTGCTTTTCCTGGTCTGGGGAATGAGTAACAGAGAAACACTCATCCAGTGAATTTTCCTCTTTCATTTGGCTGTTAGAACCAAAGAAACCTGATAACAACACTATGATAAAGGAAGATACTGGACTGTTTTCAAAGGTGAAAGTGACATCTCATGTTGATTAAATTTGCTTTTCCTTCCAGCAACACCCCTCTCTCAAATCTGCTCTGGAAGTCTGTAAAACTTTTTTTTTCTCCTCTCATTTTTGTTTCACTTTTTCTAAGTTTTTCTCCTTATTTAAAATTGTTTTAATTATATTGTAATTATCCTTGCTGTAAGCCGCCTAGAGTGGCCTTAAGTGGCTAGATAGGCGGGATATAAATAAAATAAATAAATAAAAAAAATAAAACAAATCCTATAAAAGAGAACTGAATCCTACTCGCAAAACACTGGTTTCTACCCTTGTATGACAATTCCAAATGGGAATTAATCATTCATTTTTAGAACCATTCCAAATTAGTACTACTGCAGAGTTTTAAAGTTCACTGGCATCAACATATAAAAGATTCTGATTCTGATTTTGATTCTGCCCCCTCCTTACATGGAAACAACCCCGCTAGGAACAATACTGATACGAAAGCAGTGTGGAGCAGTGGTCCAGAGTATCAGGTTAGGGCCCAGGTGGATTCAAATTCCAATCCCCACTCTAGCCATGCAGCAGCTCAATAGCTGATCTTCGGCCAGACACACACTCTCTCAGAAGGTCTGTTAGATAAAACGGGCTTTATAGAAAGGGGCTTGTGGGTTGCCTTCAGCTCCTTGGAGGGAAGGTGAGGTGTCTGGGGAAATAAATGTTTCTGTGTGAACATCCAAAGGGGGATACACCTCCAGTGGGTGCAGTATTAGTCACTGGCCATATTGCAGGCTGTCTGTGTGTCTTGACAAGGCTGGCAACATAATCCTGAATTTGCTCAGACCCAAGTTTAACTCTCAAATGGGGAATTGGATTGTTAGGAAAGTATGAAGGTAAGAGAAGGGGACAGCAGAGGACGAGATGTTTAGACAGTGTCATCAAAGCTACCAACATGAATTCGACCCAACTTCGGGAGGCAGTGGAAGACATGGGGTCACGAAGAGTTGGACACGACTAAACAACAGCTACAACTCTCAGGTAAAAGTGTGCACACCCACATCGGGGAGCCTCTCCCACTGAAGCCAGTGGGATTTCATTTTCAGAAGAAACAGGTAGGATTGTGCCCTCAAGGCTCGCCAGGAAGCCATGTGGCTTCTTCTTTGAAGGAGGTGAATCTTCCCTGACCCAGCTCTAAAATAAAACCCGCCCTTTTCCACGGCCCCTTCTGGAAGCGGGTGGGTTTGGCAACTCCATCTAGGTCACCTTAAAGCTCCCTCCCTCCTTTTCTCGTCAGGCGAAGGGAACACAATCCAGCTGCGCCGGGGACCATCCAGCGGCGAGGAACAAGCAGGCAATTAAAGCCATATGGCGCCAGACGATCCCTCTTTCAAAACCCACGCCTACTTTTCTCTCCGGGGAGACAGAGGAGGGCGACGGGGAGAGCAGGAAGCCGGGCCGGAGGGAGGGGGGATCGCGGGAGGAGGAAAGAGGAGCGGGGGTTGGCATTTCAGCCGGAACGACGGCTGCGATCCCCTGCAGACTCACCTGAAAGTTACCGCCCCCCCGACTAAGCTCGGGGGAAGTTACTTCTGAGTAGGCATCCACAGGGAAGGTGGGGCAGAGGCACTAAACCGGAAACGAGGACCTGAACTGAAAAAGGAGACGGGGGTGTTTCAACCTCAAGGGGCTCGTTCTGGTTCTTGGAGGGGACAGGGGTGCAAGTGGCGCTCCCTCCGCAGTGATGTTTCCCAGACCAGAGAGAAAGAATGTCCTCCCATTTCCCACGAATCTTGACTTAACGCCCTTCTTGCGTGTCTACTCAAAGCCCTCCTCAGCTCCACGGGACTCGCTCCCAACCCAGTTAAGTGTGTAGTTTTTAATTTAATTTTGAAGAGGCACATTTCCCGTTTCTGTAAATCAAACAGGACCAGTCTTATTTTTTGGTTATATCCACACCTCAAAAACCTCCTAACCCCAACCCTGTGCTGTGGGCCAGTCGGAGAGAAAGCGGCTGGTCGGAGGCCAAAGACCGAGGCTCTCCAGCACTCTACCCATTGCACCACACTACCTGTGGAGCTGGGGTGTGTTTGCTTCTCAGGGTCCCGTTCTGCCTTAACGCTCCCAAAGCAACGCTCAGAAGGAATAGATGCCAGCCTTAAGAAGCGGCGCTCGGTCTCCCTTGCGAAAGGGTAGGGCAGGAATCACGAAACACAAGCTCTGCGAGAGTCTTCTTCCTCGGGCTGGTCCCATACAGACATATTGTACCAGAACTGCCCCAGTAATCGCTCAGCTCGCGTGGCCAGGGCTCCCGGAGTGATGATGGGAGTTGTACTAGTTCAAAAGACCTAGGTGCAGGCTGCGACAGAGTTTGCCCCCTTCCGCCCTAAAATTAAACAAAACGACACTACCAGCCCTCCGACGGATGCAATCCAGAGCGCCTTTACTCTGAAGTTAAGCTCCCTTCTGTTTCGTTGAGCTTACTCCCGTGCAAGCTGTCCGAAAGTCTGGATTTACCCCCATAGCCTAACCGATCCGAAGCCTGATCACGTTCTTCACGTTCGCTTGGGACTAAACCCATCGTATTCAGGCTCTGCTTGCCGCATCGACGCCGGAATGCGCTCGCAGCCTTCCGGCTTGATCCTTCCCGTGTTTTACTCAAGCGCAAAATCCTCTTCGGTCCACAAGAGAGTAGCCCCTCTTCAAAGCGCACCTACCGCCTTCAACAGTGTCCCCTTGCAAAGGGGAATCCCAGGCTAGCATGTGAAAGAGGGAAACGTTCCCAGTAGCCTGAAGTTCCGCAGGCCTGCCTGCCTGCCTTCTCAAGCGCATAGAGAGGGACACGGGAAAAGGTTTGTGCCCCGAGGAGCTAGCGATCTCCACGTGGAGCGGGGAAGCATCAGTGAGAAAAGGAGGGAAAGTAGCACTCCGGGTAACAAAGAGGATGTCAGACCAAACCCAAAGAAACAAAACAATACAAGATAAAAACATGGGGCAAAGAAACAAGACAAGACAAGACAAAAACATGGGACACCTTAAAGGCTAACCAACTGTCCAGGAAAGCTCACATTAAAATATAATAGTCTTTAAGGTGCCCCATGGCTTTGTCTTGTTTCTTTGGGTTTGGCCTGATATGCTTGCGCAGAATTAAGACGGCGACCTCTTCTAAAGAGAGAATCAGTTCACCGAGGCGCGCTCGATCCAATGCCCAAAGTTTAAGCCGCAGGACTTTCTGCTCCTGCCCGCTGAGATGCTAGGAAATGGGTCTCCCCGAAAGTGAAGAACCAAAGCACTCCTTCAACGCAGCCGCGGTCTTTCCAGCCAGAGATCAAGGTGCCCCATGTTCAAAAGAGAGACACCCGCTGCCCAAAACAAGAAAGCGAGAAACTACTCCGGGGTGGTTGTTTCCTTGGGGGGGGGGTTAATTACCTAGGAAACAGCAAACATGCACCTGGATGGACCCCATCGTCTTACTTCTGCCGGGAAGCTGGAGGGGGAGAAGGAAGCACCCGCCTTCACCTCGGTTTCTAGGAGGGAGGAAAAAAGAAAATGCATTAAGTGGCCTGCCTTGTTCTTCCCACAGTTACGCCGGATGGGACCCTCCTGACCTACCCCTTCAGCGCCTCGCCGTCCCTCCGATCCTGACCGCGAGCAAGCCCAGAGCCCGGGACTTCGCCTCCGGAGAGGGGAGGCTCCAGCACGCAAGCGCCTGGGGGTGGGGTGGGGTTAGGGTGGGGAGGGAGGGGAGGGGAAGGGAGGCGGCCTCAGGGCGGGCCGCAGCGCCGAGAAGCCCCCTCGAGAGCTGCGGAGGGACTCCTGCCCTTTGTCTCCGCACCAAACGCCCGCTTTGACAGCTGTTTACAAGACGGCTGGGCAAAGAGCGCAGCGCCTGCGGGTTATTTCTGGCGCAAATATTTAGAGACGCCTTCCCTGGGGTCCGTTCCGCCCGTGAGTTCTTGCGGCTGGCAGGACAGGAGACGTCCGTCGAGTCTGGAAGGCACAGAACTCGACTTACCTCATAGGGGCTCCACGGGAACTTCAGCACCTTGACAGGAACCAACCGACAGAAAGGGTCTGGTTTCTGTCATTTATAGCCCACCTTGGTTCTAATGAGCTCAAGGTATCCTATATCAGTGGTTCTTAACCTTGGTTTACTCAGGTGTTTTTGGACTGCCACTCCCAGAAGCCTTCACCACCAGCTGTGCTGGCTGGGGTTTCTGGGAGTTGCAGTTCATAAACACCTGAGTAACCAAGGTTAAGAACCACTGCCTTATATGGTTCTCTTCTTCCCCACTTGATCCTCAGGCCAACCTTGGAGGTAGTGACTGGGATTTGAGCCCCGGCTCACCCAGTGAGTATTCTGGCGTACTGGGATTTGAACACAGGTCTGCCCAGTCCTCTTCCAGCCCTCTAACTGCCATACTATATTGGCTGTTGTCAATACTTCCGTCAGAAGTCTGGATCACGCAGTTTCAATTACTGAAGATTTAAAAACCAGTAGAAGCATCAAATCTATTTCTCTGTGCATGTATGTGTTCGTTAAGCAGCGCATGAGGCAATGGTAGCAGTGGATAAGTTTACCGCTTAATGTCCACAAGCTTGAAAACAGAACACTTGCATGTGCATTTTTAAAAAATGAATACTATAAGCAATAACTTTATCCACTGCTACCAGAATCATATATACTGCAAATTAAAATGATTCCGTTTCAATGTCTTCAAGTGTTTCTTATTTGCCTTGTGTGTTGTTAAAAGTTTACTATCAGGTTTGTCGTTGTCTGCTTTCTGCCTCTTGTTGTTATATGCCCTCAAGTTGCCTCCAACTTATGGCAACACTATGAAAATGAGAGCTCCAGCATGTCTTGTCATTAACAGCCCTGGTCAGCTCTTCTAAACTCAAGGCTGTCCTGTCTTTTAGGGAGTCAATCCATCTCATATTTGGTCGTCTTTTCCTGTTGCCTTCAACATTTCCTAACATTATTGTACTGTACTGTATTTTCCAGAGAATCATGCCATCTCATGATGTATCCAAAACAGGACAGTCTCAGTTTTGTCATGTTCGTCTTCTGAGATAACTCAGGTTTTTCCAGAGAATCATGCCATCTCATGATGTACTGTATCCAAAATAGGACAGTCTCAGTTTTGTCATTTTCGTCTTCTGAGATAACTCAGGTTCGATTTGCTTTGGGAATCCCTTTTCTGTCTTTCTGGCAGTCCGGTCTGTAGGATTCTCCCCCTGCATTGTATTTCAAATGAATTGGGGGTTTTTTTGTAAGTTTTCTTTACTCTCCAACGTTCACACTCATATATGGTGATCAGAAATACAAGGGTGTGGATGATCTTGGTCTCTAGTGACATATCTTTCCATTTACGTAATTAATTTTTCCAGTCCCTTCATTACTACCCTTCCAGGTCTCAACCTTCTTCTGACTTCTTTGCTGCAGCTTGGTCTCTAGTGACATATCTTTCCATTTGATTAACTTTTCCAGTCCCTTCATTGCTGCCCTTCAGGTTTCAGCCTTCTTCTAACTTCTTTGCTGCACCTTCCATTTTGATTTATGGTTGAACCAAGGTATAGAAAAAATTTAACTATTCCAGTTCTTCATTGTCAACACTGAAGTTATGTACTGTAATTCTTCTGTAGGCACAATTTTGGTCTTAATGTTAAACTGCAGTACTGTACTGCTTTAGCACTTTCTTCTTTCACTAATAATAATTTTAGAACTGCAGAGGAAGGGACTCTATGAAGCATCGAGTCCAGTCCTTGTCAAGGAGGCTCAGTGGGAAATAGAACCCCCAACCTCTGGCTCCAGAGCCAGATACCTAAAACACTGAGCTATCTTTGTCAAGGAGGCTCAGTGGGAAATAGAACCCCCAATCTCTGGCTCCATACCTAAAACACTGAGCTATCCAGCAAAAGTTGTTTCATCTCATTGCTGCTTTCTGTCAGTAAAACGGTGTTATCTGCATATCTTAAATTATTGATATTTTTTCCACTGATTTTCACTTCCCATCCATCTGAATCTAGTCCAGTTTTCCATATAATATGTTCTGCGATTTTCACTTCCCATCCATCTGAATCTAGTCCACTTTTCCATATAATATGTTCTGTGTTCAAACTGAATGGACAGAGAGATAAAATGCACCCATGTCTGACATCTTTGCCTATAGGAAATGTTATGTGTAAGGACAGTCAAGCGCTGAGGTTGTCTGACATCTTTGCCTATAGGAAATGTTCTGTTTCTCTGTATTCAGTGCTAATGGTAGCTTATTGTCCACAATACAGGTTATGTGTAAGGACAGTCACGCGCTAAGGCACACCCATTTCCTTTAGAACAATCCATAGCTTTCCATGATCGACACACCCAAAGGCTTTGTTGTAATCTATAAAACATAGGCAGATCTTCTGAAATTTTTTGGTACACTCCAATAGCTAGCAGATATTTGCAATATGATCTTGAGTGCCTCTGCCTTTTCAGAATCTAGCTGGAACATCAGCCGTTTTTTGCTCTTTCTGATTTAAAAGAGTGCAGCAATAGATATTGTGCAACAGAGGAAATCAGCATTCCTTACCAAAGCATAAAAAGGGGGGAACCTCTAACAAAATTTTAAAACTTTGAAACTAGACCTCAGATCAGCATCAAATTTGGCACAGATGTAGTAGACAGTCTGCTCTTGCTTTGAACCAAATTTGGGGATATTTAGGCAGATGATTCTTAATTGTGATTTTTAAAAGCATGTCTATTGCAGACACTGGAGACTTTTTCTGTTTGCAGATTTAAAACAGATCAAATACATTGAAAAGATCAGACTTGCTTATTTTGACAGAGAATAGTTAGTCCCAGCTGATTTTTTTTCTTAATTTGGGAGGAATCCAAGCACCAGGAGCTGTAATACTCACTTTGAAAAAAAACTATTTCAAAGAGGAAAAACCTTTGACTTTCTGGCTTTCTTGTAAACTAGTTATCAGCACAAACAGTTTAAACATAAACATTGAGAGCTGGGAAAGGAAATGTGAACTTTTGACCATACTAGTCAGGACCAAATTAAATTTATTATATTATTTATTTATTTATGTAATTTATTTAAAATATATTTATCCTACTTTTCTCCTTAAAAGGACTCAAGGTGGCTTGGGTCCTTTTAAGGAGAAATGACTCTCAGGGTGATAACTTTTTAACTCCTTCCTGGCCAAACAGATATTTTAAAAAGTTTTTCTGGTGTAAAAATATTTTAAAATATATAGAAAATTAATATTCAGGAGATCACTCATTTAAGCTGTGAAATTTTTGTTTCTGTTTTGTTTTGTTTTTTGCTTTGTGACAAGGCATAGTCTTACATGATGTTAGCAGAGTTTTGGTGCCTATTGCATGAATCTTGTCAATATACAATTGTTTGGTAATTAGGAGGGGGAAAAACCCTCCAAATATGCTATGTACCATCAAATCACTTCTGATGTGTGGTGATTGTATGGGTTACTGACTTAAATATGTTATCATTAACTGCTCTGCTCAGATCTTGGCAAACTAACAACATCTCATGTTAGGGTGTTCTTTCTTCCTATTGCTCCCTTCTTCCTAGCAATATTGTCTTTTCTATTCAACTCAGATCTTGCAAACTAACAGCTGTAGTTTCCTATATTGAGTCAACCCATTTCATGTTAGGTCTTCCTCTATGACACCCTTCCCAAAGACCACTTTCCCCAGAAATATTGTTTATTCAAGTCAGTTCTGTATTTTCTTTATATGTGCACGGATAACCTCCATTTACACATTATCGTAAGCCTCACGTGATTGAGCACTCTCTCTCTCTGCTTTCTAGTGATCTGTGGTATCTCTAAGGCTCACCTCAAACACCACATTTCAATTTAGTCAATTTCCCCCCTCTCCACTGTTTTTGTTTGTTTGTTGATTTGTTTTCCTGAAGAGGAGCTGAGGCAGGAGGTGAGTTGTTTTTGGGAGGGCATTATATTTGGTGAGGTATTTTCTTCTAGGCTGACCTTTGTTCTCCTTACCCGCATGGTCTGAGGGGGTGGGGTTTTGGCTATAACTGGGGGCTGGAAAAGCAGAATTTTCTGATTCTATTTTTACTGTAATCTGGTAAATAGGAAGGCCAAATAGCATTACAAACACTTGCAATGCTATCCTGTCATTCTGCCAACTCCTGCAACATTGCTGGAACCAGTTGTATTGGCTCTTGCCTTTCCATTGGACTATTTCAGTGTTGTGGAGAGGGGGGATTTGCTGCTTGGGTTACATCCTATCCTCCATATTATTTTACCCAGGCTTTGCTCTGGAGAGGGCACTCCAGCTTCGCATACAGCATCAAATCTACACGGGAAGGTGCAGTTACTGGTAATAACTCTTTGCTCGATTGGCGTAGAACATGATGCCAGGGGCTATCTCTGATGGTGGGAGAGGTCATTGCACCACACTAGGTAGCTACCACGTGCCTTAAGCTGGGCCGTCCCCAGCCAGTAAAGTGTGTGTGCTGCTTATATATTGCCCCATAGTGCTTCAAGCACTCTCTGGACAGTTTACAAGTTAAGTGCAGGCTACACATTGTCCCCCCCCCAGCGAGCCGAGTACTCATTTTACCGACCTCGGAAGGATGGAAGGCTGAGTCAACCTTGAGCCGCTACCTGGGATTGAACCCCAGGTTGTGAGCACAGTTTTGGCTGCAGTACAGCGGTTTAACCTTCTCTCCCTCTGACAACAAGACAGGGAGCTTTTTCCCCTGTCAAAGTTTCTGTGATTTGATTTACGAATTGCCTAGAATACTTTCCTTTGGCACACAGCGACACACACACCAAGCTATGGAGAATGGGTGTTTTGCTACACAAAAAGCAGACAACCCATCTAGTGCTTCAAAATTTGGAGCAAAACTGGAATAATCCCATTTTGGGGTCAATTTGGCAATTACACAAATTGTACATCATTGCCCAAAAAAAGAGAGAGAAAAGTAGGCCCTTAAGAAAAATTACGTTTTCGGAACATTCCATAAATCTTACTATGCAATAAATAAATAAATAAATCCTTCCCCCATGGAAGAAGGAAATCCACATAATGTGCT